GCAGCTTCAGGAGCTGCAGAGGCAGAAGGAGATGGAGCGAGAGCGCCAGGAAAGGGAGCGTCAGGAGCACGAGCGCCTGGAGCGAGAGATGCTGGAGCGCGAGCAGGAGCGAGAGCGTCAGGAGAGGGAACGTCAGGAGCGGGAGCGCCAGGAGAGGGAGGCGCAGACGGAGAGGGAGCGGATAGAGCGCGAGCGCCAGGAGCAGCAGGAGCGCGCCGAGCGCGAGCTGATGGAGAGGGAGAAGGCGGAGAGAGAGCGGATGGAGAGGGAGCAGCAGGAGCAGTTGGACAGAGAGCAGCAGGACTGGGAGAGAGGGAGACGCATCTCTAATGCCGGTGAGTGACACACTTTGGTTTCCTGCTTATACACACTCTCACACACACTCTCACGGACACACACACACTCTCACACACACTAGGGTTTGAGTGTTTGAAGGCCAGTGCTCAGACTGGAGATCCATAAAATCTCTAATCTTTACAAAGAAAGAATTGATACAATGAATGACGATCAGTGAAGGAGTTTTTCTCCGTGGATCTTTGGTTTTCACACGGTCCTATTTTTTAATTAGGAATTAATTTCCTTTAAGAATTTTATCGCAGAATCAGATTTTGAACCGAGGTAGTTGCTGGTTTTAATCTGGTGTAAAAGTTGTGATGAGGAAGTTTGTATTGATCCCAATTCCATACTACATGCTAACTGTTGTGCACAGTACATGCTGTATATATATATATGTTCTGCTGTTAGTATTACAGCACCTGTCAATCAAACTGCAAATGTCACTGCAAATCAAACTTAACAAAGAGGAAGTCGAGATTTAATCCTTGTGTTTTCTGCGTCATTCACACAGATGTTTTACCACCATCCACAGTTTGCGCTACGCTTTTCTACAGCTGTGATCACTTTCATCTCCTCTGCATTGTGGGACAGTTGCCTACATCGACACAAACCCAAAAGTCGAGGGTTTTTTTTTTAGTGCACATACTTTGTCTACGCGCTTACAACCGACTTAGCTTCAGTGTATAGTGTGGAATTGGGACACAGCTTCCATCTGAAGCAGCAAGGTGGACGTCTCGGCCTTAGTTTAGTTTAATCCTTGTCCAGTTTTACTTTGAAGCTGAGAAACTCGCACACGGTCTCTCAGCTGGATAAAGGCCTGGACTCATGGGAGGTGGACTCCTGCTGGCCAGACAGCAGCTCTCTAGTCGGTGCTAACATTGTTAGCTAGCCTCGTCGGTGCTGCAGCGCGGCGCCCGCGCTCTGCTCATCTGCCCACAGGGAGCACAGGAGCTATGAACAGATTGCTGAGCCACTGGGGCATGAGGGAAATAAATGTGTGAGTCTTTGCACGTGAGCGTAGGCGTGAAAGGGGAGGGGGCTGATGGCCCCTGTACCAGTCACACACACACACACACACACACACACACACACACACACACACACACACACAACTACTGACACATCTAAAAAATCTAATGACAGTGTAAAGGTGACAGTGTGCAGACGTGTTGTCTTGATGCAGAGCAGCTTCGGTTTGAGAGGAAACTAATTTACTGCAAAAAAAATCCCCAGATTATTGACTCTGATAATTATTCTTGTCTTGAACTCAGAATATCTGAAGCTTTCTCATATAAAAATGGCTGAATGTGTTTCCAGTCCAGTGTAGTCGATACTGTGATCCAGCAGCATGGACATGAGGGGGAGCCACAGGTGGGAAACACAGTCTGAACCGGACTGTTCTGGATCAGGTTTTAGTCGTGTGACACTGTTAGACGGGACGTTTCCTACATTTAAGGACTGGGTCAGTAGGGAAGCATACGCACTGTGACATGCTCCACTGCCGCGGTCGGCCTATTAGCATATGCATGTATACACACAAACACACACACACACACACACACACACACACACACACACACACACACACACACACACACAGTTCGGTGGTGTTACTCAGAGGCTAAAAATACATCATCAGGGAGAATGCTGGTGAGACCCCCCAGGGATGAATGTATGTGTGTGTGTCTGTGTGTGTCTGTGTGTATGTGTGTGTGTGTGTGTGTGTGTGTGTGTGTGTGCGCGAGCATGCGCGCGTGCCTGCATGTACATGTATGTTAAAGCCCCCAGGATGAAAAGGGGAGGAGTTATTTCACATGTCACACACAATAACACGCAGAGAACAAACATGCGGGATCACACAGAGATGCAGGAGCAGCACACGCACACACACACACACGCACGCACACACACACACACGCACACGCACATGCACCGTGTGTTTGAACAGTGTGGTTTGATGTGAGCTTGTGATGTAACATTTAACGCTTCACAGTTGTATGTTTCTCTCTTACAGGATGACTGTATGTGTGTGTGTGTGTGTGTGTGTGTGTGTGTGTGTGTGTGTGTGTCAGAACTTCTGCAGCAAGAGAAGTTTTTTTTGTTGTTTTTTTTTTAAATCAAATCAGACTGTTGACAGAAAAAACGGTCCATGTGTGAACGCTCACAACCTTTGTTCCCTTAATGAGGCACATTTTGTGCTTTCGCTGAATGAAAATGACCAATTAGCACGATTAGCGTCTTTCATTAGAAACACTGGGCATTGATAAGCACCGACAGAACTGACGGATTCAAAATGTTCAAGTTGTTTTTTTTTTTAATTGACTCTGTTTAATGGACAGAGATTATTTCTGATGCGGAGCTGAAACCATTTTAAAAAGAAAACGTACCTTATGTACAATGTTTTTGAGGATGTTCAGTGTCTATAATTTTCAGTATACAATGTAAAATGTGAACCGACCGCGCATAGATGAGACTTTTCTTAAATTAAAAGCGGTCCAGTGGCTCTTCGGACATTTTTTTGTGCTTTTTATGTCGAAGTTTTCCTGAAAGTCGAGTCGGTTTCACACACAGGAGCTTGGCTGCAGTGCGGCTGTGTTGTGTTCACATGTGTGCATGTGCCCTCCATACTCTCATGTGCACGTGTCCGGCTGTCCGTATAATCGGTGGCAGAGCAAAAGCTGGGGCCCTATCAGTCACATGATAGAGAGAGAGAGAGAGAGAGAGAGAGAGAGAATGAAAGAGGAGGGTGGTGGAGTGACGGAGAAGAGGTAATATGGGGAAGGATGGAAAGGGTCAAAAGTTGAGAGGAGATCATTAAGAGTCGTGGATCGGCGCAGGGAGCAAAGCATGAGGGGGAAATTCGGGGTTAGTGAAGAAGAGATGGAGTGTGTGTGTGTGTGTGTGTGTGTTGAAGTGGAAAAGTAAGAGAGAGATCGTGTGTGTAGCGGAGTGGAAGTCGGGACGGAGCGTTGACTCCAGTTAGAGAGGATCAACGCTGTCAGAGCGTTCAGCTGGGAAAATAAGCAGAAGAAGAAAAAAAGAAAAGTCACATGGAGCGAAACAGTCGCACAGATTTATCAGTGTGTCCGTCTCATGACTGATGATCAGGTGTTCACGTGAATTCCAGTAGCATTCCTGCTGTGTGTGTGTGTGTGTGTGTGTGTGTGTGTGGATCTGAACCACGTCTGTGAGGAAATGTCAAAAGAAAATTATTTATTGTGAACATTTTCATAATCCAGGCGGAAGGACTCAACTCTAATTTCTATTTAAATGAAAATAGTAAACCGCTTCCCCACACACACACACACACACACACACACACACACACATACACACACACACACACACACACACACACACACAGGAAACATATGGCACGCCCACACAACACCCGATCAGCTTACACTAAGTGCTGCAGTAGCACGTACGCAAACACAATCAAGGTAATTAAGGAGAGAGGACGACGCTGAGACCGGATAGACACATACAGAGAAGAGATTAAAGACGCAGTCACCACAGTCACAGCAGGTGATATTAAACAGTGAGTTGTCCTCCCACCCGCTCCCTGTAAACCCCGTCAAACAGTATAAAAACAGGTATTTAATTCCATCAGGATCTGTGAAGTAGAGGTGGGTGCACTGAGATAGCACAGATTAAAACTGAACTGGACATTTACAGAAGACGATGAAGAAAAGAGGAAACTCGTTCATATGAAAAGACACTGATAAAAAGATAGAACAATCAGCCAGGTCATTTCATTTCTCCTCACTATAATAAACTAGAAGCAGATGTGTGTATGGGGCTGTGTGTTTGCACCGTCATGTAATTCACATGTGCATAAGAGGCGCCACCTAAAATCTGATTGGATGACAGGTTTGTGTGTATCGCATCACAGTTGTTTTTCAAAGCAGGTTTAAAAAACAAAAAGCTACGTCATTGTTTATGTAGTAGATAATATAATATTAATAACTCTATTTATATAGACGCTTTAAAAACAGAGTTTACAAAGTGCTCTGAGGCAACAACAACAAAAGAAGCAAATAAATAAAAACAACAGGAGAGAGTAGAAACAGTGATGAAGCAAAAACATATAAAATGACGATAAAAATGGGGTTTAAAAAGTGATTTAAAAGAAGTCACTGATTCTGCTAACCCCGCCTCCTCCGGCAGCGGAGAGCTCGGTTATAAAACAGACGAGGAGCCGGTGAAGAGAAGACGGGATGATGTGATGTCCTCTGTTACTTTTTGCTGTTTTGTAAGTGAAACAAAAAGAAAAAGAAATTAAGAACTTATTTACTTGCTTATTTTTCTCACATGCGCTGGATTAAACTTAAACACTAGACACCTCAAATAGATACGAGCTCACTTTGACTCACACGGAGACGAGAAGCTTGTTTCATGGTTGAGTATTGAGTTTTAAACTGGAGTTTGACGAGCGTAACATGAAGCGGTGCATGCTGGGTCTTTCGGTAGATGTGGTCGAAGTCTGTATATTACCCTGGTGTTGTGTCTGGAGACTTGGCGACACTGGCGGCGATGAGCTGCGTCTCCATGGAAACTCTCTCCGGTGGGTTGTGTGCCGCACGGTGCAGTCTGAATTTCTTCCTCCTCGGTGCGTTCCTTCCTCCCTCTTCTCCTGCGAACGGGACTGTGAAAGCTGTGTGTGTGTGTGTGTGTGTGTGCGTGTGTGTGTGTGTGTGTGTCCTCAGCGCTAAGGCCTGTCCACTAACATCAGCCGAGAGAGTTCACACAACCTGGATTAAGACGTATTTATATATTTTAGCTCTGTGCTGGTTTTTCCTGCTTCATCTGCCCCCTTCTCTTTTTTCCTCCCTCCCTCCTTCCTTCTCTCTCTCCTGACCTGCTGTCTTTCCCTCCTGTGTGCACAACGGCTGCTTCCTTCCTGCCTTCTTTCCTTCCTTCTGTCTCCCCTTCCCTTCTGTGCTGTCTTGTCCTCGACCTTGGTTTTGTCCATTCGTGGCGTGGCGTGGCGTGGCGTGGCGTGGCGTGGCGTTTAGCTTTTGAGAGCACCCTGTACACCCCCACGCCTCAGGAGTACGGCAGAACATCCTCCACGCCCGTATCTCCATCCACGCCCACCTACCCAGCTCCTGGGACGCCATCACCCTCCTCCACCACCACGCCCCCGACCCCGCCGCTCCGGCACTCAGCCTCCCGATTCGCCACGTCACTCGGTTCTGCCTTCCACCCAGTCCTGCCTCACTACGCCACGGTCCCGAGGCGACAGCAAGCCTTTCCACAGGCCCCGCCCCCTGCCCCCGCTCCGGCCCCCGCCCCTCCTCCTCCACCCAAGTCTGTGGTGTGGTCAGCGTGCAGCTTTACCCCCTTGCCGCCATCACCCCCTGTCATGATAAGCAGCCCCCCAGGGAAGGCCACAGGTCCGCGGCCGCTCATCCCCATCGCGGCAAGGCCGCTGTTTCCCCCCTCTCACCCCAGAAGCCCCCCTCGCCGTCCCCCAACCGGCCGCGCCCATGTTCCCCGCACCCTCTCCCTTGACCCATCCGCAAAGCCATAACCTAACAGCATCACCAGCCCACCCCACCTCCCCCACTCCACCCCGCCCCCTCTCCCCTCCCCTGTAGCCCACCATCCGTCTTCCTCCTACACCTCGTCTCCCCCCTCCTCATCCCAGGCTCCCGGTGTGCCCTCTCCCTCCACAGCGCCCCTTGCTGCTGCAGCCACTGCCGCCACCTCTGCCTCTGTCGAGCACCTCTCCCTCCCCGTGGGCCTGGGCCTGTCAGGGCCGGGGGAGCCGGACACAGCCGCAGGCCCAGGGCCCCACCCGCCTCATGGGGGCTTCTCCTGTCAGCCCCAGGGTAAGGCCTCCAGTCTGGATTCTGCTCTCTCTTTCTCACTGCTTCTCTGCCCTCTCTCTGTCACTTCTTCTGACTCACACACTAACAGGGGGGCTACTGAACACTGTTGGATCTGTTATCAATGTAAAGCCGGACAACTTGACTTTACTTAAAGGTCCCATATTGAATTGAGGTAGATTTATAAGTGTTGTTTGATTATAGATCAGGTCTAGCTTCTATATTAATACTGTGAAAGAATCAAAGCGCTCAGTCCACAGAGAAATGCACACAGCCTGTATTCAGAAACTGAGCCTTAAAACCAGCCGTCAGGACTTCTGGAACTTTGTGATGTCACAACAAAGCAGTCACCAAGCCCCGCCCACCTGGACCCACCATCAAACCTGTGCAGGATTTGATTTCTCTGAGTGTTTTACCTGAAATCTGCTATATTATTTTTTTTTGGATCACTCGGAAAACTGTCAGCCAATCAGAAGAGAGACTCAGAGCCTCCTCTCTTCTGATTGGCTCAGTGACCTGTTGTTTCTAGAGCTCCAGAGAGAAGCCTGAGAGAGGAGATGCAAAACTACATTTGGTTGGTTTTTGGTTCATAAAAACTACAAACATGTCTTCTTCTGGATCAACACTTCAAACACAGGGAAAAGTGTAAAATATGGGACCTTTAACACACAATGCAAAACATGCATCAAAAGTTTATTTACAATAACATAACATCAATAAAACAGACATTTCTCATTGTTTAAAACATTCAATATCATGCATCATGTCCTTTCAAAAATAATAATTTCATACTTTAAGTCAGAGCAGGCTGCTCGCCCCTACGCAGGTTCATTGGAATCACATTGAGTTTTGAGTCTCATCTCTTTGAAGACAGTGAACTCCCGACAGGAACGTCTCTTTACAGGATGAAAGAGTCAAGACAGAGAGGAGATAATACTGCCAGTTAACATTTGTAGGTAGTGCTTCCATTTCCCGATGATTTGCTCGCACGATCTGGAATCACTGAATGTTAAAAGCTCTAAATGTAAAGTGAAATAACATTAAAACAAGCGACTCTTGAAGAAGTGGCTGTCGTTACATAAATATGTTTATCCATTGCAGAATGGCGCACGGTCACAGTGAAATTCAAAAGTAAGTAATTCTGAATCAATTTTTCGATTTAAGCCTGAACTTCCTGGCTGTCAGATTCGTCCATATTCATCCAGTGATGGTGGAAAAATGGCAGCTTTAACTTCCACATCACTGATCCACTGCTGAGGAGAAGCTGCTGCCTCAGAGCGACGCCGGTTGTTTTCTCTCTCACGAATTAAGACCTGATCAAACCCAACGACTTGAATGGATCAGCCAATTAGAAGCTGGCAAACGGCCGCAGCGCTGATGAAGGGGGGCGTGATCCATGTATCGATTCAAAGATGATAGTGATCACAATAAAAACGATATACTACGATATGATGCAATCAAACGCAATATTTTTCAGCAATATTGACTTCAATTGTGTAAGAAGAAATAGATTTCAGGCTTCTACTGAACTACATCAGGTATCACTACGCCTCAGTCCTGGCTGCCGTGACCAGATCCAGATTTCATCTATCCGGTGACTCTTTCCTCTCCGTTCTCAGGCTGCAGTTTCTGACATTAACACTGCTGCTGCTGCTGCTGCTGCTGCTGCTGCTGCTGCTGCTGCTGCTGTTGAGGGATCTCACGGTGCAGCAGTCTCTGCTGCACAGGCCTGTCTAACTTCTTTGTCAGTCTTTTGTCGTAAAAACTCCTGTGACTGTTTCTCCATGTGCTTGCTGGCTGCTGAAACGTGTCTGGTCCCTCAGCATGGCGTTCTGTCTCCTCTGATAGGAGTCTGTTATGATACAGATCACCGACTGAAGTCTGTATCCAGCCACTGCCTTTTGATTTCCTGGTTTCTTTCATCATCATCATTTTTCAACTTAAGTTCAACCTTTTTTTAATTTATTTTTTTATTCTTGTTTGTTTGTTTTTGGTTTTTTATTTCTCCACTCTTGTGCTGATCTTATGATTTCCGTTGGATTGACCCTCATCTGAGACTTGAGCGTGCAGCCGGTCCACCTCTCTGTGTAGGAGATAGTGGCAGTGGATCGCTGGCCATCCCGGTCCAAGTCAAATCACATTCCCATCAAATTATTCTTACAGCACTGCAGCTGATTTACGTAGATACTGTTTAAGTTCAGCTTCCAGCTCAAGTTTCATCCTTAAAAATGTAAAATAGAGCTGAACTTCTCACTTTTAAACAGCTATTAAAACACTTCAGTTCTCATGGTAAATATGTGTTTTCAACATTACGTGCACTCATCCATCCTCATCTGTTAGAGATCAGTTAGAAATATCCACAACACTAGCTCTCCTCTCCATTTTTGAGGGTTTTATTAATATTTTCTACGATGAAAATTTAAACTCACTTCTTGTTTACTTGCCTTTAAAACTCCAGTTTTGCATTTATATGCAAATAAAACCGCCGCTTCCCTGACCTTTGTCCCTGGGCATTTCTCTTCATTAGCTGCAGCGGGAAGAGGAGGAGGAGGAGCTCTAATGACCTTTGACCTCTGTGATAATCGAAATGATTGGCTTTGAAGGGACTGGACTGCTGGTTTTAATATTGATCACACGTTCACATTCCCTCATGGATTATTGATCATGGATTTAGGTCTGTGACGAGAACAGACTTATTATCCTTCTAATTATCATTAGACATGAAGTTGTAGAAAACTAGTTCAAACTTTTTATCACATACAAACGGATGAAATCGTCCAAAACAACAACTGCTGCCTCAGGCCCTGTGTTAAATGTCTTTTGGTCATTATGTGTTTTTATGACTGTGTGTATGTATGTGTATGTATGTGTGTATGTGTGTGTGTGTGTTTTGTTGACTGTTCTGTCTCTCTTGTCTATGTTTATTGGAATTTATAGGAAATTTGTTCAGCCAATAACAGAATTCATTCTAATTGTTTATAATTAACAAACGAGAAGCTACTTTAATGTGTAACTTACCACTGTTTCCATGCTGCCCGGTCCGACCTCTAACCATAAACCCAGTCACTACTACTCACTGAAGCTGCATGCTGATATGTTGTGGCATGCTGTCATTCCTAATGTGTGTACTCCATGTTCTGTTTCATCTGAAAATTTACATTACTGCCATTACTGCCCCCCGCAGAGATGACAGTGGTGTAACCTGTTGATGTGACCTGACAAAGAATTATTCAGGCTGAAACATCGTTTATTGCTGCTGCGCTTTTTAGTGGAGTCGTCTAATTGTTTATTACACTGACATGATAATGGGGGAAAGAGACGGGGAGGAGAGGGAGGGAGGAATTTACAAAATATTGAAATGTTTTTTTTTTGTTGGTTTTTTTTTCCAAAAATGAATTCTGCACTATACACTCACTGAGCACTTTATTAGGAACACCTGTACACCTGCTTATTCATGCAGTGCAGTGCATATAATCCTGCAGATACAGGTCAGGTCTGGTGGTGGTGGTATAATGGTGTGGGGAATATTTTCATGTCACACTCTGGACCCCTTAATACCAATCAATCATGGTCTGAATGCCACAGTCTATCCGAGTATTGCCAGTAATGGCTCCTTCCTGCAGGATAATGCTCCACGTCAGCTGACGGATCTGCAGAAATGATGTGATGCAGTCACGTCGACGTGGAGCAGAGTCTCAAAGGAAAGTTTCCGACATCTTGAGGAAGAACTGAGGCTGTTTGAGAGCTACTCAGTGTTAGTGTGGTGTTCCTAATAAAGTGCTCAGTCAGTGCATATTAAGTGAAGTGTTTTCACAGTGATGGAAAACATGTCAGACGATGAAAGGATTGTGTTGAAGTCCACACTGAGTCGACAGGTCTTTGCTCTGTGATGTTGCTCTGAATAATGACAGTTGAACTCAGTTTTCCTTCCCTGTGTCTTTGCCCATCCCCCATTGTGTGTCCCCCCCCCCTCCTCCCTCCCTCCCTCCCTCCAACAGACATGGTGCAGACCCCGGGGTTGACCACCCCCACTCCTGCCCCCACCTCCACGCTCCTGCCGCCCCAGCTCCACTGTGGACCGTCCGCGACCGCCACCCCGTGCCGCCACCGCGCCCCCACCGCCCGGCCCACCCACCCCTCCTCCGCCCCCGCCTCCCTCCAACCTCCCTCCCTAAACGCTGACTCCTTGCGGGACGCCCCCACCTCCACCAGGTCCCCTCCTCCCCCACGGAGCCCTCCCTCCTCGCTGCGGCGGCGCCACCCTACAATCCCCGCCGGACTGTTCTCTCCCGCAGAGGACCACCCCGTCTCGGGCCTGGCCGCCGCCCTCGCTGGAGCCAAGCTGCGCAAAGTGCCAAGGGTGAGCGCTTGATTGGTTACTTGATCAGTGGAAGGCTTGACGCGCCTCGTCTGAACTCGCTCTTTGTATCTGAACCATTTCACATAAACACCATCAAGGCTTTATTAAGCTGCGCGCGCACACACACAGTTAAACTCTTATTTCAGTGAAACACACACATACGTTATCACACAGAATCACTGTCACTGAAACATTCACGCACACACGCCAAGCTCATGGTTGATTACACACACACACACACACACACACTCTCTCACACTCACACAGAGTCGTCATCTGCCATGTCTCATCTCAGACGCCGAGATTTACATATAATGCTACAGCGTCCCCGCTAAACAATACACGCCTGCTTGTGTGTTTCACATGACAAAATACACACGTCAACCACAGATATGACAAAGAAAACATTGTGTTTTTTTTAATTATTTATGACTTTTCTTTTTCAATTCTTGTTTATTAACAGTTAGTAAAGAACCTGTAACATTCATTAGTATTTCACATGTCGCCCTGTGTCTCCGCAGTGTGACGACGCAGGGGCAGCTCTGGCAGCAGCCATGACGGGGGCTGGAGGAGCCGCAGGGGCCAAATCTGAAGCCAGAGGCAATGGCCCTCTGCCTGGAGGAGGGGGGCTCATGGAGGAGATGAGCGCCCTGTTGGCCAGGAGGTAGTGTCACGTCGCCGTGTGTCTCAGACATACACACTCCACACATGTTGATTTTGTTATATCCTCTGAAGAACTAGTTCATGCGCTCAATGATTCCCTGGTGTTCTTCAGCGTCATGAGTTTATTTGTAGTAAAATCCTGATTTAAGGAGAATAAATGTAGAAATTAGGAGCGATCTGAATTTTAAAAAATCTGGAGTGCAGGAAGAATTGAGTGATTTACGGTCAATTATATCATCATAGAAGAAAATTCAGATTGTTATTCTGCAACATTAAAACCTGTGTATCTCCGTATCCTGCAGGAGAAGAATTGCAGAGAAGGGCTCGTCACCTGAACCTGACCAGAGATCAGTAAGTACCATTAGTGCTGCTCTGTTTTCTGCTGCATCTACAGCGGCTTTGATTTAGCTCCAAATCTGTCATGACTACTTTCCCTCCGCCGCCGAATCGCACAATGGCTCGTCTGTGTGATGATACGCATAGTCTCCTCAGTGCAGGCCGCGCAGTCTGCGCTGCATTCACCACATTTCTGCCTGTAACGACTCCTCAGTCACTCAATGCTTTATCTGTGTGATGGTCTACAGGCCTCGAGTGGCTGTTGTGCACCAAATTCCAGTCTGTAAATCTCTGCTGTCAGATGCTGTTCAGTCTCAGATACTTACCCATAATGCAAAGAAACCATTGTTCAAAAGAGTCTTATATTAGTCTTTATTTGTTACGTATGAGTATATTTTATTATATTGTTTCCCTGATTCTTATCTGCTTCCATTTTCATATCTTATTGAGGCTGTTTGCTCGTAATAAAAACTCAGTACTTTATCAGTTGTCTTTATAGATGCAGTATAAAGAACATTTCTTAATGACTAAATCAGAACCTAAATATAAAAGATTGACAATAAAAACTAACTAAAGCAGAACAACAGAGTCATGTCATACGCACCACACTGCTGCTTTATTTAACACACAGCATTTGATAAAGGTGCAGGAGCAGTTTTGTGTTTATCTCTGGTGTTTTTGGTTTAAATTATAACAGAATCAAAAGGAAGAAAGACAAAGCGTCTCCCTCCTCTCGACTGTCCGCTGCCCGTCTCTGTTTGGTATCTGTTGCTCCTGTGAAGCAACTCTCTCTGATTATCACATCTGTGACCCCTCTGAGTGTGACTCATCTCTGATCTTTAAACCCTGTCTCTGTCTGTCCAATAGGAGGAGGGCGAAACAAACACAACCCCTAAAATGTCAGCCTGTAGCACACCAGGTAAGTGTGTCTGAAGGAAGAGCGAGGGGGAACCATCAGCAACAAAGCAACAGCAGTTAACATGCATCTTCCTAACACAGGCGATGAGGATCCAAGTTAGCATTTAACTACTTACATTTCTTCTGCAGTTATTGGAAGTCAACTTGTCTTGTTTTTTTCTGTGATGATGATTACAGGAAGTGATTCTCATATTTCTTCTGTGTTTTGTCTTTTTCTGCAGACATGCCCAGGAAGCCATGGGAAAGAACAAACACCATGAATGGTAGCAAATCTCCAGTTATTGGAAGGTACGGTGTTTACTCTCTGCTTCTCTTACACTGTGTCATATTGTTTATCGTTGCATTTTAAGTACATTTTATATCCTAAAAGGGTTCAGAGTTAATTTTACCTACCATATTATTTGTGTTTATTGCCTAGGTGATTAGCTAGCCGCTATGCTGCTAGCTTCTTTCCCAGTAAAAGACGCCATGGGGGGACGTATTCAAGCAATAGCGTCAGCTAGCTTTAGCATGATGCACTGCTGGGGCCGCTCAGTGCTGGCTAACATCACTAAAGCTTATGTAGCCTTCATGTGCATGTTGGACGTACGTCAGACACCCAACTTACCGCTGTGATGCGAATGAGCAGGAGAGAAGAAGAACAGGGGACGATCAGATTAGCGCAGCAGTTAGCAAGGCTACTGTTTTTCTTTTGGTTTTTTATTGTTCAGATGAAGAATCACAACCACACGTATCATCTATGCCTCTTTTTTACTGTAAACTCTGGCTGATATTCAACATGTATTCAACACATACGTGCTTTTAAACCTGTGCATCTTTAAAAGCATTGTCCGAAGCACTTATTCTCTTCCCCAGTAAACAAGCTGAATCTGAAAGTAACTGTTTGACCAGAATATCTTCATGATTACAAGTAAACAAAAGTACACAAATGTAGTCAGAGCCTCATAATGTTGCTGTAGTATTGTATTAGTTAAAGGTCCCATATAATATAAAGATAGATGTCTATGTGTTCTTTGATTATAAAGCAGGTCCAATTTCTATATTAATACTGTGACAGTATCAAAGCCTCAGTCCAAAGAGACATGCACACAGCCTGTATTCAGATACTGAGCCTTAAAACGAGCCGTCGGGACTTCTGTAACTTTGTGATGTCACAACAAAGCAGTCACCGCTTTCAGCCCCGCCCCAAGCCCCAAGCCCCGCCCATCTGGGCCCACCATCCAAACCTTGCAGGATTTGGTTTCTCTGAGTGTTTTACCTGAAACCTGCTATATTTCTATTGGATCACTCAAACCATGGGCACTCAAGCCACCTGAATAGCCTCAATTACAAGTAAACAAAAGTCCATACGTGCAGCCAGAGCCCTTATAATGTTGACAAATAGTTGTTGATAATACTTTCACTTCAAGATCCCGCTGTTGTAATTGGTTAAAGGATACTTCAATAGAACAGTGCTAAAGGTTCAGTAGCATCTAGCTGGATAGATTCTTCATCGTCTTTGCATATTAAAACACAAGCAATCCTTTATACTTAGCAGCCTATAAAAATGGAACAAATAGTAAAGGCAAATAAGATAATAAATATAGAATAAATATAATGAATAAAATGTATTTGTTTAACTAAAAATAGATTAAATTGCACTTCGGTAATGAGTCCAGCAGCTTTTCCACGAACAAGCTGTTTTTCAGTCAGTGGGTCCGTGCCCTTATGACTTTAAGCCTTTTATATCAACTGATAGTGTTAAAGTGAGTGTATGATAGTGTATGATAGTCTCTATAGTGTCGTGGACCCGACCCATGTCATTAGTCTGGGGACATACAGGACACAGACAGATGCTAAGCTGTAATTTGTAAAGCCGGTGTCTCTGCTGCTCACACAGACGAGAGTCTCCGTGGAGATTTCCCATGGGAGCAGATTCCTCCAACAGGTAGAGAGAAAAGGCAGCGGAGAGTCCGAGAAACCTTTTGCTTTAAAACAAATCTCCTTTTTTTTTTATTTTCATTGAGGTTTGCTGTGATGGACATGTTTTTTTTGTTTTGTTTTCTTTTGTTTTTTGTTTTTTGGTGAGGAGCTAATTTTAAATGTTTGAATGAAAAGTGTGGAATGAATTCTGTGTTGTCTTCGTCTTCCAAACCTCCCGGGCTGCAGGGGTCGGCTCTGCTCCTCTGTTGTTTTGACACGTGCCATTTGTGACAATATGTCATGTGGTTTCTCACCCAGTCGCTGCCTGGAGGGTGATCTCTAACGTAATCTAGTTATTGCTCTTGCATGCTGCCCAGCCCTCAAAAACCTTTCTTTTTTCTCTCTTTCCTTCAAAACAGGGAAATCCATATGTGTGCGTCACATGCTATACACCCACCCTATCATACACCCAAACACAAAAAAACGAGTGTCCACCCAGTGCAGAGTAGACTTGGCACGGTGTTATCGTTGCAGAGCCAGAACAGATCCAGCAGGCTCTCACAGATAAGACCCCGCTGTGTGTGTGTGTGTGTGTGTGTCTGTGTGTGTGCGACCAGATGGGCGTTTTTGATTGCAGCTTATTAAAAGTGACTTTAATATGTGACCCAAAGAGAGCTGCTGCTGGTGCATCTGTAAATAAGTTGTTACAGTAATTTGCAATTTCAAAAATACAAATAATGACATTATTAGGCTTTTATTCAGCATGGAGTTACATTAACATGCACTGAGAAGCATTAAAGGCAAAGTGCCAGACTCAGTGTCTCACTACCTGACTCCCTCACCTCCTCTGTTTCTTTTGTCCTGTTCTACGTACATTAGCTTTAAACCGGAAACACCCAGACAAATAAAACTGAAGGACTCCAAACATAATTTCCGCCCGCCGGTGAAGCCCAGCCACTAAATGACCTGCTGCCGAGCACATTTCCTTTTTTTTCGCTTCTGCTTCCTGTCACGCTTCCTCTCTTCAAAGTGATTGGCTGCTCGGTGACTCCCCCCCCCCTCGATGACTCGCACATACAGTAAAGAGCTCGCTCAGTGTTTCTGCATCGATGTGGCTCTTTTCATTAATGGCTGGCTCCTCCTGGCTCGTGGCTGGGCTGTTGATAGGCCGAACTTTTCATTCAAAGATGTGTGGAAAAAAAATAATTGTGAGGTTGTTTCCAGATGTGGAACGTTTCAAAATAAATTACACATGGACACGCTACAGGATCATTTCTTGACATGTTGGAGAGAGAGTGTGTGGAGCTGCAGATTTCTAACATCATGACAGGAGTTTTTTTTTATATATATATGTATATATATATATATATCCTGTGACCTGCTGTGAACAGTGTGTGTGTGTGTGTTTGCATTTGTGTGTGTTTACATGCATGTCTAGGTGTGTGCATGCTGGATCCTAACTGCAGTTTAGCCCGCATTGTTTTTTATGTGTAGACATTTTATATCAGGTGATGAGGAAAGTAGAAAATCCCAAAGGTTTGATTGGTGAAATCTTATTTCTTTACATTAAACAGATCATTGGTTTAACATGAAGCAGGCCAGACTATGATAGTTTATCAAATCCACTGTCCATTTAAACAGGTCACGTTGTTACATTATCTCCCAATGAGGATGTAGGACAAGAGGGCAAAGGGTGACACGTCCAGCTCTGCATTGATTTGACAGACATGACAATAATGGAGCAGTGATGATGCTCTTTCACCTCATCTCTGCCTCTTTCTTCTTTTCTCTTTCTTTTTTTTTCTGTCTCTTCTCTCAGACCTAAATCCACTCCTACACCTACTGCATCCCTAAGTGCCAACGGTGTGCCAACAGAAGCTGTTGACTATGACAGATTGAAACAGGTTTGAAATTTTATGATTACTTTATGGCACAAACATCTGTTGAAACTACAACAAGCCGGCTGTGTAACAAAACATTAATGTGCTTGTTTCATGCGTCCACTCTGTTCATCTCTCATATATTTTTAGTACTTTATTAAATAAAGCATTTCATTTCTTAACAAAACTCTTCCAGCTCTTTACAGCTTTTAAGACATTATTGCAGGGATTAGCCGCCTGTTAGTCCTGCTTTCTCCTGTGAGTTGTAATAACTGCAAATCTTATATACTGTATGTTTCCTGTGTTCAGACCTACAATGTCCATAATTTGCAAACTAAAAAATACCTGCACACACACTGGTAATCTGACACCATTTTCATGTCAAACTGCATTTTAGTGGTTTGCAGACGTTTTTTTTTGTCTGTGCTGTATTTTTTTGGGTCAGAAACTTTGTGTTTTTCACTGTTACTCAGCACGGAGGCCATTACATCCAATGACATCCACAGATTATCCTCGTTTTATCAGTAAATTTGGCTGAAATATTCTAATATGTTGCACAAAAACGTGGAAATGGCGAATAAATGTCTAAATTATATGTAATTCTGCTTCAAGATTGTGAATCATATTTATATATGATACCAAAATAAAAGATCTCAAGCAAAGCCTCCACGGACAGAGGGATTTCCATTGGTCAGTCTTTCTTCCATTACTAATGCAGCCCTCTTAGTAGTAAGAAGTGTGGGTGTGCACAGTAGTGCTTCTCCCTCTGACCTCTGTAATGAGCCTGTTAGATAAGTGCGGAGTCTGTCGCAGTGCTGCCTATCTGTCACCACAACTGGTCACAGCAGCGGGACTGTGAGACAGATGACACCCTCCAAAGCCACCGCTAAGCTCGCTGTCGTTATCGTCCCTCTCAGTCGCTGTGTTTATGAAAGCAGGAGATCATAGCTCAGACTTGAGGCTCATAATGCTAATGTAGCCTCATGCTGTCTCTGTCAGTTTGTTTACATCTGTCCATCACTAAGTCAGTCTTTAGACCTAATCTCAACAGGATTAGCTTCTTTTCTAAAGTAGACAAAGAACCTCCGTTTGCCAGTTGGCAGCAGCTCCACTTCGCCAAATCCAAACACCGCTGTCAGTTATCATCTGAGCTGAAGGTGGAGATGAGTCTGGTCTGGTTTGATCTAATGACACTGTGTTGTTTCATTTTTTTTTTCTGTTTCTTTTTAGGACATCCTGGATGAGATGAGGAAGGAGTTGTCGAAGCTAAAAGAAGAGCTCATTGATGGTAATTTCTATTCACACATACATCCTGCAGTCAATTTACACATCCATTAGGCACTGTTTAGATAACCCGTATTTTCAGGTTTAGTATATTTAACCCTGAAACAGTGTCTGATGACAGGAAGTGAAATAACCAACACGCTCTCTTCTCAGAAACATCAAGCAGTTAAGTTAGCACCAGAGCTATAATGACTCATAACTTTAACAGCTGCACAGAATGTGGTTTTTCACATGCAGAAAGATTATTTGGCATCAGCAGCACTGGTGTTGCTGCAGCAGTGGCAGGATTTTCAGTTTTGCAGGCTGCTGCAGACACACTGCCTGTCGCTAGAGCTCAGGTATATTTAACAGTGACATCTTCTGCCAGAAACAATGTCCTGGTTATTTTTGGATAAGCCACAAACCTCACTGTCAAAAGTTTACATTGTTTGTGTGATGTTAAAACTTTTTTAAATGTCTTTTTTTAATTCTTGTACAAATTAAATTTCATTCATCTCCACTGCATTTAAGTTGGGGAGGATAGATTTCTCAAAATGTGGAAAAAATAAAACTAAAACTGGCAAGATAGGTTGTCACATGAGTGAGCTGACCCTTTTAAATGTTGTACGTTTTGCTATTGCTACATAGCTATTGTTAGCATTAACAGCTGTTTATTTACTAGTCTAGAAGAAACGTTGCGAGTTCAGCATCAAACTTCATTACTTTACCCATCAACAGCTGTCTCCAGAGGTGGAAAGCAACACCAATGTTAACTCTTGTCTCTATTACGTCTTTTCTTCTACTCAAGCGCTCTCAAGTTAGCATGCTAACGAGCTAGCCCCGGCCCATCTCATCACTTTCCAATAGCGACTCACTGTAGCCTCCAAATCTGCCCTGTATTATAACCTCTTGTCTTGTAAACAAAGCTGTTGTCAAGCGACAATCACCAGCACCTGCCTCCGCCAAGAAACTACTTTTGCCGGCAGAGAAAACTTGAAAATAACCCCTTTAAGTAAAAATGGGTGATACACAGCTTTGGTTAAAAATAACTCCGTCTTTCACTCCGTGTCCTCAGCAATCCGGGAGGAGCTGGGCAAGTCCAGCACGGCATAGAGGATCCGGACTTGCCGTTCAGAACACCTACATCCACGTGACCCGACAGACGAACCCGACGGTCAATTTAAGACATGACAAAAACGACAGCAGCAACACGACGGTGGAGACGGTGATGATGATGATGATGGTGGTGATGATGATGATGATGATGATAATGATGATGATGATGATGACAATAATCACATTAATACTGAGAGAGGACTTTTTTGGGGGGATGGGGGTGGGGTGGGAAGAAGCAATGGACTAAACAACAATGGACAGGGGTAGTGGTGATGCAAGCCTCCAGTCCCCGCAGATCCCCCACCTCCCCTCCCCCTCCAACTGGGGGGCATCTCATCATGAAGGGGGGAGGAGGAGGGGGAGGGGGCAGTGCATGGTCTGAAAGAGAAGTGAAAGTCTTTATGCAAAGATGATTTCTGTCTCTTTGTCCAATGATAGCAAGAAAAAAAAAAAAAAAAAACACACACACACAACACAAAAATAATCGTGAACTCTTGGATGATACTGTATTAACCATCAGTGAGCAGCGACGGTGACGCTAAGAATCACAACTGTTGGGGATGTACGATCAGTAAGTGGGCGAGAAGGAAGAAGGTGGGGATGGAAAAATAAAAACGTTTTTTTTCCCATAATGCCATAGGGGTAGCGTGCGTGCGTGTGTGTGTGTGTGCGTGCGCGTGTGTGCGTGAGTATGTATGGGGGACTGACAGTCTCTGGTGAAGTCCACCACTGCAGGACACTGTAAAGCTCGTCTTCCTTAAAAAAAAAAAAACGAAAAAAAAACCAAACTATTTTAACCCTGAACATGTACAAAAGAGAGAAAAAGTTATTTAGGAAAAAAAAAAACCACACACACAAAAAAAAAAAAAAACGCGTATCTATCCACCATGTCTGTTTCAGTGTAGATCTATGGCCATATCAAGTAGCTCAATAATCCAGTCTTTTAAACAGGAAGCTCTCCTCTGTCTGTCGTCTCTTCATCTGTGGAACCATAACCAGACGTCGTCGTCGTCGTCGTTTCCCTTCCTGGAGTGTGGAGACATTTTACCGTCATGCTAGTTGACCATGGCCAGACGTGTAGATAGAACTGACTTCCTTCCTTGTACCTTTTTTTTTCCCCCAATTTGAAGACTCTCTACTTCCCTCCCGCCTTTCTTCGTCAGTCTCCGTCATGTCCGTCACATTTTGGTTACTCCGTTTTGGTGCACGTGCGGTCGTTTTCTTTACAAGGTGAAGGTCACAACAAGTCTGCCACGAAAAATTGTATTAACTCTCACAAGTTTTATTACAAGCAATAAGTGTAGCATCTATTTTAAGGCCCACCTGCCCGAGTCCCAACGCCACCAAACATATTTCAGTGTGTGTGTGTGTGTGTGTGTGTGCGTCTCGTCCTTTTTGGCCCTCCTGAGCTCTCGTAGGGGCCGGTTTTTTTTACTGTGTTTGACACTTTGCCACCTCTTGTCAACTGTGTTGCAGATTTTCTGTGAAACTGAAGGCTGACATGAAAGAATATCAGAACAACACTGTAACAATCACAACACAACACTCTCCTTTTTTTTTTTTTTCCTATGAAATCCAAGGAGACTGTATCTTTAGCCACATTGGAGTTGAATTTTTTTATGGTTTATTTTTATTTTACAGCGTTTATAAGAGTAAAACTTTTTTTTTTTTTAAAGGTGCACAGGTCAACCCAAATGTGTAAGAGATGGTGTCCAAATGAGGACATGAATGTGCCATTCACTCTTTTCACCAGTGCTTACTGATGACGTGTTTGTTTCATCTTTTTCGTCTTTGCCTTTTTCTCCTGCCTCTGTCAAATCCTTAAAATGAGAAGCTGTATTTTCCCTGAAACACACACACATATAGAAGGGAAGTGTAACTTTTATTTTAAAACACTTTTTATTTCAACATTTCTTTCAGTTGAGCGCTGAGTTTTGTTGAGTACAATCAACCTGAGAGGGATATGTTGGGAGCTGAGACTGGTGTCCATAAACTGTAGCTGTTGCTCTGAGATTGCGTTGTCAAGGGCAAACGTTCATGTTGGTCTCAGTGCTGTTCTTTGTTTCCACATGAGGTCCTGAGGCGGGACGGCCTCCTTAATACAATCAAACCTCATGACTCTTCAACAGCCACTTTACGTTGGAGTCTGCAGGAAAAACATGGGGCTTAATAACGACCCTTTGACCCTCCAGAGGATTCTGAGGTGATAGGATATCCTAGAAAAAAAGTTTTAATAAGTAACTTAGCATTCTTGGTATCTTGATGGTTACAAGCATCAAACTGAGAACTTACAAGGCAATACAGTGTAAGCACTATGACTGTAGTTCATCCTTAATGTCACCACTCTGGCCCCTTTGCAACAGTAAGAATATTTGTACCTTAAAGGGGGCACTGCAGTGATTTCAGATTTAGCTTCCATAAGGTTTGGGAGGCTTGCAATAGGCCAGTATTTCAAAATAATGGTCAAAATGTCAACATCGAAGGCCAGGATTCTCTGACGATGCTTGGTCCTTCAGTTCCCATTATGCAACTTGATAGCATCTTTTCATGAGACTCTCTGACTTGCCTGGTCATCATCCACGTCTCTCAAGTTCCATACCACCACTTTCAGATAACCTGTATGACATCATTATAAGGTCCTGTTCACACCTGGCTTTAACATCTGATCGGATCTCACTTCCCCCGCTCTATATGCAAATAAACACGTATATACGTTGTTGTTTTTAGCCAATCAGAGAGAGAGAGAGAGAGAGAGAGAGAGAGAGCGGGGAAAGGAGCGGTTGAGTGACTCGTTGCTCTGCACACAGCTCTACAATAAACTACGGTTTTACCCATTTGAAATATATTCAGTTCAGTATGAAACTGTTGAGACTTATTAGACTGTGGCGGAGGACGTCAGTTGAGTAGGCGGTCCTTCAGTGAGGCCCAGGACAGATTTGCGTTCACACTGTTAAAAGAATGTGGCCCAGACCACCTCCAAATGTGGTCTCAATGCATCTTGGGTGCGTTCACACCTGAACCTGTGATTGGGTCACCTGAGACAGATGTTGATACCAGGTCTGAACATAACGAGGGTTATTTTTCACAGAAAACATTATTCAGCTGGTCTCCAAGGGCTGAGTAGCACTTCACATGTAGACTGATTTTTGATGTGTAAAATCTGTAGAGTGCCCCTTTGAATTACCCCTAGAGAAGTGGCTAATGCGTTATCATCATGCATAGCTTTTAAACCTGGTATCCTACCAAAAACAAGGTTTTGTTAATCAGGGGCTGTCATACAACACAGCTGTTCAAGGGCTTGGATGTTATAGCTTTATTACAAAAGATTTTTTAAAAATCAAACACTGAGAAAATAATTTCCCCCCTCAGTTTCTGTCATTTGCTTGAGTTTGGGTCGAATTTGTTAAATAAATACTGTGGTTAAAATAAAAAAAAAGGACATACAGATGCCACGGCGTCTGTTCCAACTGGTCTACGTCATGCTCTAACTCTCTGTTGATAAAGTTGTGTCATCTCCTCATCCAACCTTTTTAAATGGAAACACGCAAGCCAAGAAGGCTCCCTGTCCTGAGTGTTTACACAGCATCGATTGCACTTTAAGATGAAAAACAAAAAAACAACAAAAAAAAAAAAATAACCCACAGAGCAAAACCAACATCCTCTGACAACAGTTGCTTAAAAGCCTCTGTCGCCAATAGTGGGGGCTATCTCACCAAAGGATTCAAGCCGGCAGTCTCCTGCTAAAACATGATCACTCTCAACGAAGTCGCCTTTTCTTATTTTTGTATCATTGTTGTCAAAGAGATCTAAAAAAAACAAAACAAAAAAAAAAAAACAAAAAAAAAAAAACAGAAAGATGTCCATCTCTATATTCAGTCCTCCGGACGCGATGGCGGGTGAAATGTTTGGATGGAGAGAAGTTTTCCTTTGTGAAGCTATGTAGTCTGTGCCTTGTTCTGAAGTTGCATTTATATGTCAAAGATATAAAGATGACTAGTAATAATATCTAGGGACTGTAATTATGATCACATGCAGTTGTTATTTTGTTTGTCTTTCTGTTTTTTTTTTGTTTTTTTTTTTTGTTTTTTTTCATCATGGTCATTTTATTTTGAAAGGAGAGTTCAATGACCTTGGTACTGTTCCCCACCAGGAAAACACCTTTGCACCAAGATCTTCTTTGTTTGTTTGTTTGTTTTTTTTTTTTTTTACATACACGTGGTTTCTTTCTATACAGTTGCGAGGTTGCTTTTCTTACAGCTCAGAAGTACAATCAAACCTTTTAAGAGATGAGGCTTATAAGGGTTCAAAGATGATCTTTGCGCTCAGATGATGATTTTTCTAAACCTCCAAAAATCCCTGTTTGGAAGTCCAGATGAGTCCCGGCTGCAGTGTTCTGTGTTCCCTCATTGCCATTTAAACGTCAAAGAGACCGCTTGCGTTTCAGCAGCTAATCTTTCTTTCCACACTTGGAAATCTCTCAGAAAAAAAACAAAAACAAAAAAACTCTTCTTGTCTGCTCCATGTTAATGTCAGATTGCTGATGGAAACATTTATCTTTGTCCGTAAACCCCGTTTTTCTGCTGAAGGAACTGAAAAAGAATTTGTGAATTTTTGCGGGAATATTTGCAGGAATGAATTGTGGCTGAAGCAAGTTTCATTGGATGGGTTTCCAGACGTGTTCTTTTATCATCTGCATTGTACCATACTGTTCTCACGTTAATTAGTCTTTCTTACATGCTAACATATTGTTTTGTTTGAGCAAATTAAATAAAAATTGCAATATAAGACTAGAAGTTGTTTCTTTTTTAAATGATGACGACCGTTTTCACCTTTGATTAGCTGCTAGTTATCAATTAGCTACTGGTCATACCAGACCAAGGAAGGCTGTAGTAAGAAAAACGTGTGTTGAATTAAGCAAAGGTTGTGTTTTATTTGTTTTGAATTAAACCTTTTTTTGCAAGAGGAAGTTTAAGTGATTTCTTCTTTCAAAAGTTATATAGTGTCACATTAAAGGTCCCATATTATACACTTTTCCTGTGATATACTGTATATGTGGGTTTCAGAACCTAAAAACCATCTCAGTGTAGTTTTACATCTCCTCTCTCAGCTCTAGTAGAAACAGGTCTGTAAGTTTCTGAGTGAATAAAAATATAACAGATATCAAGTTACAGAAGTCATGATGGCTCGTTTTCAGGCTCAGTTTCTTTCTTTCTTGCTGTGTGCATTTCTCTGTGGACTGAGCGCTTTGATACTTTCACAGTATTAATGTAGAACCTAGACCTGCTTTAAAATCAAAGAACATATGGAAATGTACCTTTATACATATATATGGGACCTTTAAGTTAATAATGACTTGCTGCCCTTGTTCCCTCCCTGGTACGTCCTCATCTGTCGTTACACCAGGTCAGCCAGAGTCACAGCCCCATTAACTGTGACATCAGGTCTGACTGCGCCTCGTGCTAACACTCAGCGGAGGAGAACAGGAAGAGAAAGACTAACTGAAAATGTATGCCTGAAACCTTTTTTTTCCCTTTTAGCTTGATGTGTTTACCTTCTCTGGTGTCGGCGAGCTGAGCCGAGCTGCTGCTGCAGGGTGAGACCAAGATTTGAAAATGCAATACTGCAAGTTGTGGTTCAGTATGCTCAGCAACAAGGAATATTCTCAGAGGATTTTATACTGATCCACAGGAATCGGACACTTCACAGCTGTTTAATATTTATTTTTATTTTATTTTATTTTTTGGATCGTCCAATATCAGGGTTTTATCTTTTTTATTCCCCCACCCTTGCACAATAATTTTTTTAAGGGCTATGCTTGGTTTCCAGCTTCCAGATCTATCTCAGCTGTTTATCAAATGCAGCTCGCCTTATTTGTTTTTGTCTGTTCAGAAAACTTTACGTTACTCACCGGGTCTGGTGATGTGTGACATTGAGAGAAACAGGGTTGAGCAACAGGGAGCGCTGTGGAAAAGAATAGAGAAACATATAGAGTATACTCTACATTTCTCTATTCTTGTGTACAGTGCAAGTATTTTTTGTTTAGAAAGATTAAAATATGTCACTATATTGACTGTACTTTTGATAGTATAGATTTGTGGATATGGTATTTTGCAAAAAGAAAAAAAGATTAAATTATGTTTTTTTTTCTCTTTTTCTTGCATTAAATTCTTATCAACCAAAAAGCAGATTCTCTAAATACAACATAATATCTGACTTTATCTTATTACTTAAGAGCTTCATAATAATCTCACTGGCACAAACTTCAAAAATTTCTGGTTTGCAGGGCGGAAAAAAAACCTGCGTTTAAAATTAAAGGAAACTCCCAACCCTTAATTGTTTGTAGAAAAAAAAAAAAAAAATAGCACTTCTGTGCAGCTTCACTTTACAACACAGTAGGTCTGCACCAACACTTCCTGTGGGTGGAGAATAAAGAGGTCTGGCAGTGCATATGCAGTTCATTTGAGGTTTTGTTCGACTTGCAGCCAAAGAGAGGTTGCACTGTGGCAAAAGCTGCACTACAACAGGAAAACAACCTGAGCTGAGAGCGGGTAGTGATGCTGTAATTGGATTGGAGAGTTTGAATTTTCAAAATCACTTTTCTTCCTCTTATTGTGTCAAGGAGCTTTGGCTATAACTGACAGTTGTGAATAATGTGTCACAACAGTCGGGTCTCCGAGACGTGTTTGCTTATGCAAATAAGACAAGGCACGCAGCTGTTATTGACTCCATGCAAACTTCATGTCTGAGTGACTTCATATGCTGAAGGTAGTTTGATACAAACACTGTTGATGCACTTTGCTATAACACTAACAAACCAAGTGAATGATTTAAAGATAATAAGAATAAATGCTGAGATGAAAAAACTGGACTTTTTTTTTTTCAGAGGGTCAGAAACACTTTGGAGGGACCCCCCAATTAAAATTCATCATCACCTTGACAATATGTGATGTATTTAGTCCTGCATAGTCTGCTAATCACTTATTTTTGTGGTATTGGTGACATATTGGATATACTGACTCAATTCTGTCACTATTTTGAGGATGAAATGATTTCCACATTTAAAGTTTTACTTTATCATACATGGTTAGGTCAGATGTTTATGATGCAAACAGTTCCAAGTGTCATTAAAGATTTAGCAAATGTTTCCATGAATGCGCTATGGTATATTATGCATCACATCCATGTGGATCACAAGTACAGCCTATGACGATACTGACACCACCAAGTTATTAATGGGAATGCAGCTGTTCTCAGAGCTTCTATGAGTAGTACAGTCCTGTACCATTATGATGACAGCCTGCCCACAGAAATATATACCCAAATAGCAAAAATATATCCAGCTCATACTTGGGCCACATGCTTGTTTTCTTCTGGCCCAGCATACACCCGGTTCCCCTGCCTGAATGTGACCCATATGTCAGATGTTACTTCCACGCCTGGGCCAATTCGGGTGCACTCACAGAGAAAAATCTTCTGGCTCTCAGCAAATACAGGAAAATAACAACAGGAATATGCCAAGATGTGGAAGTATACGGGCCAGACTTGGGCAGAGGATCCAGGTATATGTCGGGTCAGAAGTTTCATTTTGCTATCTGGGTAAAACGTACACTTTCCTCCTTCAGTTTTTAGTACATAAAAAGAAACATTTTGCCTTGAGCATAAAATGTAAGAATGAATGTAAAAAAACTAAACTGGGCAAATTTTGATTCAATTTCAGCAGCATTCTTGTTTTTGTAGTCAATGTTATACCAGGCTACATTATATATAAGTATAAGTAAAATGGAATCTTGGTATTTTGATAATACATTTAAGTGGATTTGTATTTGACTATTTTCTTATTATATTCATTTCAACATCAATTATTTTATTATTATGGGACTGAAACTAACTGACTGGTTAACAAGTACTCACCTACTGAGCCATGGGCACAACAGACATTTGCACTGTTCTATATCTACACTGTTCTGTCCATTGCTTTCACAGAGACAGCTGCACATTACCTTACATTTATAATTTACACCACCTCCATGACTGGTATTACTTACTGCTGTGCAGCTGATTTTTTTCTATTTAATTATTTATGCCTATTTTTATTCTATTCTTTATTTTTTGTGATTTTGTTTGATTGTTATATTTGGTGGATAGTGGGTTTTATATATGTCTTGTAAGCTACTTGATGCCTGCATTTCCCTCGGTATTAATAAAGTATCTATCTATCTCTATTTATAAGTTTTTTCCCCCTCTACCCTACGCTCCTACCATTTTGTCTGACGGTAATTTGACACCGGTAAACAAAGTAGTCGTGACTCCTTTCAAACCAATCCCAATCGAGCTCAAATCCACCGTTAACCAATGAAATTGTAGAACAGTTTGAAATGAACGCTGAGCTAGCCAATCAGCAGCCTTCGCGCCTTCCTCGTCACTGGTGGATTTTGCTCAGAGAGGGAGGGAGAACGAGCTTTACGTCAAACGTTAGCAGAGTCCGATTTAAAATATTAAGAAAATTTTAGATTAATTCCTCGTAGTTTGGATAATATATCATCACTTTTACTCACTTGGATTATTCGCGTCATACTCAGGTAAGTGCATCTGTCCAACGCCGGTAATTATGATGCAAGATAGCAAATCGCTTTATGTTTCTCTTTGTTAGGAAACTGGTGCTTAGCCGAAGCTAACTCAAGCTGCTGTATAACGGTGCTGTAGGCTCCGACTAGTTCCTGGAATCTTAACTTGTGTATGCTGGTAACTTTTCCCCTTAATGTCTCATGGTTTTATTTAAAAATACTTGGTAGGGACTTTCACTGCGATGTTAACTATGCGGTTGGACGTGTTACACGTTTTAACGGTACGCAACGATTAAATGGTCTGAAATTCGAAGGTGCATTCTTAGTTAATCAAGTCCATCTTTAATAGACTGTAACGCTAAGATTAGCCCAGTCGGCTTTTCACTTTTCTGAGCACCATTAATTTTAAATTATTTTTGTTGGGGGATACCGTCACTAAATTTAGCTGTGTCAAAACTTGCGCTCATGGGTTGATTCGTTGGCGGATGCGTTTGGTTTCTTTCCCAACACCGTTTGAATGCATGACGTTTTCCCTCCTTTGAGTTAACAACGCTAACGTTAGCCGCAGTTCGTTAAAGACACAGCTCTTACGCATTATAATTCACTTGTGGCACAAAGGATATGCTACGACTGTTCTCAGAGACAGACCACACTCACATTCGCGTGTCAAGCAGTAAGATATCGAAACTTTATGGACCTAAAAGTGAAACGTTAAAGCTCCGGGAAGCGGCTGTGTACTGTCATAGACGTTAGAAGGCACTACACTCCAACGGGGGCATGGGAGTTAACCAGTATGAATTATAATGTAAAACTAGTTAGTACTCTTTTTAAACCCTTTGTCCGGTATAGCTATTTGGAAAACTATAACTATAACTAGCATTAAACTCATCTTTGAGTCACTTGTCGACGTTTGTTTTCGAGTGTGGAGTGGGGTCATTGTTGCCCCTAGTGGCCGTTGGGGTAAAAACACCCACTACTACAGCGGCTCTCGCCAACCGTCAAGTATCAGCGGGCCTCCGGCCTCAAGGATCAGTAATGGGTCCACGACGGCTGAGAGCACCACTGTCAGACGAAGAAGACACAGCACTAGAAAACTGTGTGCCAAGCGACACAAAGATGAGCTATGTGCTTTATCTGAAGTGTTTTCTAACAACATTTTTCTGGTTTGCAAGAGAAAAGAATTTAAGCCTGGGGACTAACTCGTTGGTTTCCAAAATGTACGTCGGGTTAAGTTCCCCACCTTCATTAAAGAGCAATTTCCCGGCGGTTTTCAATGGAAGTTTGCGGGACTGTCTCTCAACCACTGTGTGAGGGACAGTACTGAGCTGGACTAAAGTACAGATTAATGTAATCCAGTGGCTATGAATCTCACGACGTCACAATATACATATATCATACAATTGGTGGTGCATTCATATAGGAGTAAAGTTTTTGTTGCAGTGAGTTAGAGGCGTTTTTGCGGTCCAAAGGAAAGCATGCTGATGGTCTACTACCCCCCCCATAAAAGTTAAATAATACAGTGCTGCTATGTTAACAAAACAGGTTATCGCCTCTTTGGCGGGAGGTTCACACGTTAAATTCCAAAGGGGCTGCATACCAGGTGGTGCTTAATAGAAGTTTTCAGTACAAAGGGGGGATGTGTGCCTGACTTCTGTGTAAAACCCCACCCACGTTACAGCCGGATCCTGTCATCAGTTCAGCCTGAGATCTGATGGGAAACTCTCATCACGATTCAGCCCTGACTTTCACATCCCATATGGAATTCGGCAGTCAAGCCAGGAGAGCAGCACAGGGACTTACTCTACTCTGGGTGTGTCTTACTGAGGTGGTTTCCCCTCAGATGTTTTGGATTTTTGTGTTTTTCAGGATTATATCAGTTACTGGGGGACTAGGGGTCGACTGCATATGTTTGACTCTCCCTGCTTGTTTGTAGTAAACCTGGTGAGCCAACTTCTCAGTGGACTGTTGGACCTTTCTGCTGTAAATCAGTGTGTTTACAGGGGCTTACAAGAAATTGATGTAGACATCAGATTGGATTGTACAGCAGAGTGGTTTAGTTGTCAATAAACTCACATTGTCAGATTTAAGGATTCTTTTAACTTAATTTCTGTCAGATGGTCATCAAGATCTCAAATGAGTTTCTATGTGCTACCTGCCATTTACTGAAGCATGATGCTATGTTAACAGCTGGAATTTGAATTAGCACGGCTCCTGACAGGAAGCTGTCGATATGGTATGGGGCTAAAATCTGCTTTGCTTGTGCTGAGTATGTTTAAGTCAGTGTTTCCATCCTTCTCGTGACCTAATTTTGTTGTTAAAACACTACTAATCAAACATGTTGTAAGGCATCCTTTGTGTTTTTATTCTGGCAATGGTAAGATGAGATGGAAAAGTGATTAAGAATAACAGAACCATGCATGTGTTTCCTTTTTATCTGAATTAATTTTTATGAATGAGCTGTATTTAACACAAAAATGTGTGTGGGTTGACTTGAAATTTTATTAATTCTCAGTTGGAAGTTATTAAGGTGCTTTCTGGTGGTGTTTTCTACAGAATTTCACATTGGTCCACAGAAGTCTGTGACTGTACAGTTGTCAAACTGGCCAGCTGTTATTTTTATAGCTGACCTCAAACTGGCTCTGAGAGTTGGCAAACTTAACAACCACAACCCCAGTGAAGTATAGTCTCATGTGTGCAGGAGCTGGTGTAAAACCCCCTGCCTGGTTGGCTGTGACTTGAATGGCCCAACGCTTTCAGACAGCTTTGGGTAAACCTAGCAGGGACAGACCTGTCAGCAGTTCTGCAGCAGTGTGGTGGTTTTCTAGACACTGAGGCTCCCTGGTCACTAATGTTCCATAATGCTGACCTTGCCTGGCCCACCTCATTGTGTCCATTGGGGCGTAGTACAAGGATTTTGCAGTTCTAAAGTGTTAGCTGATGTAGGTTGTCCAGCCTCTCAAAATGTTTGGGTGGTTTTGAAGTTATAAACTAAGAAGATGTTTAACAGTTTGATCAGGTGTATAAACACAGACACGATTTTAAAACTTGAAGATAAACAGAACAAAAATGGTGCTTGATATTCTTAATTAATTTTAGTTAATTTATTTCACTTTATATATTCGGTTTATTGTTTTATCCTTTTGTGAAGCATTTTGTAGCTTTGTTAAGAATTGTGCTGTGTAAATAAAGGGAATTATTATTGGTATCATTATAATTATTAATGCTTTAAATTGTGTAAAACTGTAAGGAGATGATCAACACTTGCAATGGGACGGGAATACTATTTCAAGTGTTTTGGCATTAGTGTGACTTCTTCAGAGCTTAAAGAGCAAAACAAATCACATTATATATATATATATATAAAGCTTCACGTGATAGTCCGTTTGAAAGGAACAGTGACAATAAATAAAATCTTACAGAATTCGATATACAATATGTAACAGCACAGCTCATATACCCTTCAGCCCTATATGTACAGTAAACACTTAAAGCGAGGGTAGATTTGCTAAAGAAAACATCAGAATGAAAGATGTTAACTTAAATATAAACATCAAAACTCCTCCTCCACCACAACTCCTCCTGGGCTTTTGGTCTGGACTATGGCTGTAGCTGTGTGGTGTGTTGTAATAATAATGTGCGTTTGGTTTTTCTCATCTGCTTATCCTTCCTTCCTGTTTTAGCTCAAAATAATATCCTTTGTACAGGCTTGCTCTGATCTTTAGCCTGTGTCTGAGATTTTGAGATGCCACTGCTATTGTCATTCAAGCAAATTGTTGAAGTTTGAGCTGTCGCTGTACTTGAGTGGACTTTATAGAGACAGAAAGGGCAGGCTGCAATGACAGTGTCTGTCATTGTTTCAAATCATCCTCCTTAATGTACTTACCAAAGGCATATTAGGTTTGCACTGAAATGAAACACCCAGTGTACAGTGATTTTGCTCAAAATAAACTAGTTTAGGGAAGCTGTTTTTACCTGTTCTTTTCTCTCATGTCTCCTGTCTGTCTACTCTCATGCCTTTCCCCTCCTTTATCTCCTGTGCTCTCTCTTTCACTTTCTCTTTCTTCCGTCCTCTTTATACTTTCTTCTACTCTCACTCTTTATCACTCATGTTTCACTCTCCCTCAGGTCAATGAAAATGCCTGTGGTGAAGTACCAGAAAGGGGACAAGGTGATGGGCCGCTGGCCCGGCAGCAACCTGTACTATGAGGTCAAGGTGCTGAGCTTTGACACCACCAGTCAGCTCTACACTGTCATCTACAAGGACGGTACTGAGCTGGAGCTCAAGGAGCAAGACATCAAGGTAGAACTAGAGTCACAGAGATGCTGACAACCAGAACTTCACTTTCTTTTCACTTTCTCACTTGGTTTAAATCATTTTTATGTGCTTGGATTAGTTCTTTAGGTTTAACAAAAGTTCTCTGTTATCACAGAAAGCAATATTATAATCTAACATCTATAGCGTTATGGCCTATGTTGGTATTTTTTTAGTAATACTTTTTAAATCAGTCAAATTCAGTTGTTGATTTAATAATTTACAAATGTGACAAATGTCTTGATACCCAAATGAATTGAAGACATGTCATTCTACTGCTGAAAGCATTGTGGATGACCTTTCTTGACCCCAATATGTAAACGTTTCTATATTGTTTTTGTATATATACTTACAAAGTATCATCAACTGTTGCCTTTGGTTGTAATCTCCTCTTACGTTTCAATTGCTGTTGTCCTTCAGAGTGCTGCTGGTTTCCAGACCCGATCCAGGTCTCGCTCTCGTTCTCGATCACCAGGCCGTCGTCGTAGCCGGTCACGCTCCCCAGCAAGGACAACGCGCCGCTCGTCCTCTCGTACAGCCGCGGCTGTCGCTGCTGCAGCCATAACAGACAGCGTGCCATCCTCTCATAGGGAAACAAGGCTGAAGGATAATTTGGAAGTCAGGCTCAGCCCCCTGGTAATTGATATATATTTTTGTTTCATTGTAATATTATGTTTCCGGTGTTTTTATGTTTTGTTTTTTTGTAATATAAAATTATTATCAGTTACATTATCTATTGTATTCAATGTTATTGAATATCAGCTTACTGTAGAGGAGATCTAACAAATGATTCTGTGTTATGAATCTTGGTCACTTACAACTAATAAAAGTTAATTAATTTAAAGGAGGTTCACAGTTTTTCTGGCAAATTCCTGTACATTGTCAAATGTCCTAAATCATCAGCACCTTGTTGTTGTGGGAATGAGGAATGTGTCAGTTTCAGCCTCTGATTTGGGATTTTGAGCATAACACAGTCACGTTCCCTGTGTGTGGTCCTCACGTTGTGTTTTTTTTCCTCCCCTTTTTGTCTCTTCATCTCCATCAACCCCCCTTCATTGTTTCATGGGCAGCAACAGACAGAGGCAACCGAGAACAATAGCAACAATAAACATGAAAAGCAAGAGGAGAAACAAAAAGAGGAGAATAACACGGCTAACAAAGTGAATGAGGTGGGTTTTATCTTTTAATTTTAAAAAAAACTGTTCATCTGTGTGGAAAACTTAGGAGAATTTGATAGAACTTTGTTGAAAAGTTGCACATCATGTTTTTAAAAATTCTAAAATCCTAAATAAGCCCAAATCTCTCTGCGAAGGTGGACGCAGAGCCTGAGAAGAACCAGGGCCGTTATAATCTACGTCGCAGGAAGGATGACGGAGCTGCCAAAGAAGTCGCAGTCAAACAAGAGCAGCTGGAGGAGGAGGCCAAGAAGGCTGCAGCTCCTGCTGCCGCCCTCTCCACCCCACTTGACTTCGGAGGGAAGATAGGTAGGTTACAGCATGCAGTTCCATGTTGTATGCAGCTATTGTGGAGCAAAGCAAAGTCTTCCCTAATTTAATTTACAGCCAGATGGATTAAACCCTTGGACAAGGACACTGCTGTTAAGCACACAGAAATGTAATTAGTCACATTCCAGTTAATTTATGTATTTTCATTTCTTCATTTAATCATTGATAGAACTAGACAGACTGTAAAATGAGCATGAACCTATGGTGTCATCAGAACAGTACTGTGCTATCATAAACTGGACACAGCTTTTCAAATTACTCAAAGACTGAAACACTGCCAGTCTAGATGACACAAAAACCTCACAATTTGTGCAGTACATAACTTTCCACACTAGAAATGCAGAAATATTATGATAAAATAAACCTGATCCAGCGGAGGACATCAGTATCCCTGATGTGTCTTTTCCTTCCTGCAGGAGCCTACTTCTGGCTGCTCTTTCTGCCGGCCTGGGTTCTCTTCCTGGTGCTCCAAGTCAGTCAGGGGGACCCCAGCCTGGTCAACTTTCCCCCTCCTCTGCCCCCTCTTGAAGACTTCTGGGATACCCAGGCCCTTGGCTTTGTCATCCTCTGGATTGTGTTCCAGGCTGTGCTCTACATCCTGCCTGTTGGAAAGGTGAGTGAGAGGAGCCGAGAACTGTACACACAGTAGTGTGTAACATCATCAGTACAGTATTACTGGGATTGTCTAAAGGCCAATTCATGGTTTCTGTGTCCCCATGTCTGCGAGGGTTCACATGACATAAATTTAATCAACTGCCTCAGTCCGCAAGGGTCCACATGGACCCTGTGCAGTGTGTAGTGCGTTACGTGTCCACACATGCATAACCCAGTTATTATGAACATGTCCGTGTGTGCAGTCAGCCTCAGTCCGAGGGAAAGCGGAAACCATGAAGCGGCCTTAAGTAAGGTGGTAGCTGGTTAGCCCTCTGTACTCACTCTGCACTACTATGTGTACAGGACAGACACGTGTGAATTGGCACATGACTTTGTCTGTTTAATGACTTTGGCATGAGGCACAAATTGGATCAATGATCAGGAGTCACAGTCAATGAGATACTCCACAGGAAAAAACAACATCTTGGTCTTTCACTCCAGGGTCATTTCTTCTACTTGATATTTATATACATAAAACATTTTTGTGTTTTTCAGTTGAAGTATTAGTTTTTTCTAATATAGATAAAAAAGCTGATGTTTTGTCTTTAATCTTCAGTGTCTCCTCCCATTCAAAAGTCCCTACAGCGGTAAAGTGAGAACATAGTAATCACAAAATACATTTCTCCCCTTGTTGATGTTTCCAAGATCCCCGTCCCTCTGATTGGCTCCTCTAGAGATGTCGCTCCTGTGAGCTAAAAATGTCATTAACCAGTGGGTCCATATGTTTAAGCGTGCTTGTGTTTAACTTGTGACTGAGTGACCCTCATTCCAACCATGACTTCTCCATCCACAGTGATCCCATTAATCCCATTTCTTCTGTTTCTCTAGTTGAGCGAGGGCATGCTGCTGAGGTCTGGGGAGAGGCTGAAGTACAGAACCAATGGTGAGTCTATGTGAACCAAACCTAGCTAAAACCAATACAACACTGCTTTGTTATATCCTCAAGCACCTTCAAGAAGATTATAATTCTCAGTTTTAAAAACATTTTCAGAGAGGTGTTGATTCAGCGGTATGGTCATTTTGAAGGCTGCAGTTTGTGTTGCTATTGAGTTATATTTATAAGTGGTTCTGTAATTTTATTCACCCCATTATATCAATGAGGGTAGGCTAAATAACAGAAACACCTCTCTGTGTAATATTGTTACAGAACACCTGCCTTTTACCAGTTACTGAAATTTACATAATGTAATGTCTCCGCGTACTCTGACATGAAAACTTAAAATAAATACCAAATAAACAATTATCTTTTTGTCTTCCACATGTCACATTTCTTCTGTCTGTCTCTGCGCTCTGCTTCCTGACAGGTTTCTTTGCCATCGTGGTGAGTGCTGTAGCAGTGGCAGTAGCGGTGCACCAGGGTGTTGACCTCACCTACATCCACAGTCACTTCCTGCAGCTAGCCGTGGCCACCTTCCTCATCTCCGTCCTACTGAGCATCTACCTGTATGTCCGCTCTCGCTACGCTCCCACAGAGAAGCTGGCACTGGGGGGAAACTCTGGTAAGCAGAAACATCCTGAGTCCCTGACTGACTGATCACTTTCATTCTGTTCTGTCTCTTTTATTATTTCATTTATTGTGACTGTAGTCTGTTGTTAAATGTGCACAGTTGCTTCATTTCTTTTCTCCCTCTTTCTCTTCAGGAAATGTGGTTTATGACTTTTTCAAAGGACGTGAACTGAATCCTCGCATAAAAGACTTTGACCTGAAATTCTTCTGTGAGATGCGCCCTGGACTGATAGGCTGGGTGAGAGAAACTTATTTAAAAAAATACATTTAGTAAGCACCTTAAGGAAGAAGATAATATTGTTATTATTATTAATATTATGGGCAGAACACGCCTCTCTCTGTTGTTAAAGCCAGATATCATGACTGTTGGTCAAACTGACTTGCAGTTATTGTGTCTTGATTCATGCTGCATTCGATACTGAAGATATCGCAACACACTGCCGTTAAAAATGGTACTATGCCGCATTTCATTATTACGTATCCTTTAAAAATGACAGTGTTTTAATCACAGCCGTATTTTCTGAGTTGTACTGATGATCCACTCACCATGAAAGCGTCAAACCAAGAGGCATGGCTGCAAATACAAGTGCTCTTGCCGACTGTCTGTGGCTTGTCGACAAAGCAGATGCACAGAGCAAAATATTTCACTCACACAGCCGACAGTGAGGGTGAGCCTGCCTGTACAAGATATTTTAAACCTACACATTGCACTGCAGGTTTAACCCCAGGCATGTGACATTAACTCATTGATCACATTAAACTTTAACATGAACATTTGAAGAAAGGTTTACGTCTGTTTATCTGCAGGGGTTGTGTTTACTTTTCACTTCAAAAATCAGCAAAACAAAACAAACCTTTGCACACACCTGTATCTCCATGAATTGATATTCACCATTCTGCATGATCACAATTCATACTGATGATGGATTTTATCCTCTCTGATTGTTCAGTGTTTGATCAACTTTGCGATGGCGCTGGCTGAGATGAAGAAGCACGATCTGGACGCTCCATCAAACAGCATGATCCTCGTGAACCTCTTCCAGCTGCTCTACGTGATGGACGGCCTCTGGAACGAGGTAACAGAGCACGTTTCCTCAGAGTGAATTACATAAAACGCATTGATGAATGAAATGATTACCTGCGTGGTCAGGTAAACAACTTGTAAAACCTCCTTGCTTCATAAAACAAATAATGAGTGAATGTGTGCTTGTCTCCTCAGGAGGCCATCCTGACCACCATGGACTTGATGCACGACGGCTTCGGCTTCATGTTGGCTTTCGGTGATCTGGTGTGGGTTCCCTTTACTTACACCATGCAGGCTTATTACTTGGTCATCCACCCCAACCCCCTGAGCCTCCCAGCCGTTACAGCCATCCTCATACTCAAATGTGAGTAGGATTTACCGATCAGCTGAATTCAAGATCTGGATTATTGAGTTCACATAGCTGCATTTACCGGTCATTCTTGTTGCTTTATCGTAAAGTTCTGCACAGACACTGATTTAGTAATGTCACAGGAATTTAAGCTAAAGAACGTTTTAGATAATTGTGATCATTAACAAATGGGTAGAGTAAATATTTCTGTGGTAAGGCCCCACATTGTATTTGTTTCAAAAGTATGGATGGGTGATATATTTGTTTCTAACGTCTTCTCTTGGTCTCTGTCTCTCAGTTGTCGGCTTCTACATCTTCAGGAAATCCAACTCTGAGAAGAACGCGTTCAGGAGAAACCCATCAGACCCAAATCTCTCTTGTAAGTTCTCCTGCAGCCATAGAGCTAACTATGTCTTGGTTCTGTGATGAGATGATATTTTTTTCCCCCTCTGCATTTCTTTGTTTCCCTCCAAAGGTGGAAGAGTCATTAGTTAGTGGTGGTTGAGCTCTAGTTATTTCCATGAGTTATGTCTGTGACTGAGTTGTCAACAGCCGTGGAAACCAGCTGCAGTATGTTGTTAAAGTAACACCAAATTTTGAAGTCTGTGTGTGAAACAGCTAAAATTGAATGAGGTTCTGATAATTAGGTTTTGCCTTTACAGGTTCTATTACTCACAATAACTACAACGTCTTTCTAACATGCTGAAAATAAACCAAAATATAATGTTCTATCATGTTTGATAAACAGGACAAGTAGTTATACTTTCTATGCCAAAACCTTGTTTAAAGCTTTCCTGTTTCTTTGTCCCTCTTGTCACTCTAACCTCTGTCTGTCTGTCTGTCTCTCCAGACCTGAAGACGATCCCCACAGCTACAGGGAAGAGTCTCCTGGTCTCTGGCTGGTGGGGTGTGGTCCGCCACCCTAACTACCTGGGAGACCTCATCATGGCTCTGGCCTGGTCCCTACCCTGTGGTGAGTTGCACTTTTAGCATTTGCCATATTAGAAACCAGTGAAGTCCTGACTGTTTGGTAATGAAGTTTAGAGTCCAGACATCTATAAGAAAAAAAATGTTATATAGATTTTAACTGCAAATGTGGTTATTGTGCAAATAATTCACTACGTTTACTTGCACAAAATATTATTGGTTTTGCCCTTATTCTGAAAAAGACAATATTCCTGCGAAGCTAGACTCCAGTTAATTAACTCCAATTAAAAGGTCAACATTGCAATAAAGTGAAACATACTAGAAAAACATGGGGAAAAAGGTGTGTGGGACTTTCTCTTATTTCTGGGGGTTTTGCAGTGATAGTCTATTAAACTGAATAAAAATGCTGTGAATGCTGACGAATTAAAGCAAATTACATTGTTTTCAAATGAACTTACAGACAAGTTAATCGTTTTTCTTCTGTCCTTTTACCATGTGCAGGCTTCAGCCACCTGCTGCCGTGGTACTACATGATCTACTTCATCATTCTGCTCGTGCACCGAGACTCGCGCGACATGAGCGAGTGCAGGAGGAAGTACGGGTCGGCGTGGGACGAGTACTGCCGGACTGTTCGCTACCGGATCATTCCCCGTGTCTACTGAGGAACCTGACGCTGGACGCTCGAGCTGAGGCCTTTTTTTATTTTTTTCACCCAGTATCATGGCTGTGAAGGCTCGCAAAAAAAACAAAACAAAAAAAGCAAATGCGTACGGATTGACTGAATTGACTTTTTTATTGTTTAAACCAAGAATCTTTAAAACGGTCTGGATTTCTGGACTGAAGAAGCTACAAGTTTTAGATGGAAGAAAAAGACTCTCATTGTAATTATGGACTGTTTCAAGAATTTTTACACAAACAATACCTTTATAAGAAATAAATAAATAAAAAAGCTCTTAAATCTTAAAAAATGGGGAAAACAAAATAAACGCCTCCGCTAGGAATGTCTTGTTAAGATGTATATTATTGTACATACACATTTGTTTTGATACTTAAAGAATAATGCACCCCTTGCATACTTTCTGCTAAGTTTTATTCTTTGCTCCCATATTCAGAATTACAATATCATTTTGGCCATAATGAATAATTGTAAGTACACCTTCCTACTATAATTTCCAGCTTGTGCATGTTGTGAAGGATGCTACGTTTCTTTTTTTAATTTTTATTTTCAGTACGCTGGAAAGTAGGACTCATGTTCTTTCTCAGGACCCAGAATTTTGTAAGAAAGTTGAATTAGAAAAGTTTTGTCTTAATATTTTTTTGTATAGTTTTTATAGATATCTAGTTTTGACTTGAGAGTGTAAAATTATTTTCAGAGGTTTCAAGAAAAATGCACTAATGCGTGAAGGCATTTTTATTTTATTATTATTTTTTATCAGTTCCAAAGTGTATTTGATTTGGCTTTGCTACCTCAGGTTCACCCACTGTCCACTTCTCCTCTCCTCCGCGTCCTCTGGTCTCAGGCAGTGTGTGTAATTGTGGGTGTGACGTCACTGCCGAAGAGAGGAAAATGAGTTAGACTTGTTTATCATTTCACCGAAAATGTGACCATCCGTTATCCACATCCACAGATGTGTGACGCTTTTAAAATGAAATCCCCCCCAACTACTTTTATTTTTGTCTTATTTTTGTCGCATTGATGAAACCATCTGTATCTCGTCCTGCTAGTTTCTGGAGCGTACTCTCTCTTTCTCTCTCTATCTATCATGAACTGGTTGTTGATTTCCCGCCACTGCCACATGAATTTGATTTTTACTTATTTAAGCTTTAACTACCCAGCTCATATGAAACACACCGTTTTAATGAAGTTTAGACTGTGACAACATGCAGATCTGTGGACTGTGTTTGCTTTTATAACCTGTGCATTTGCGAGCCCAAAAAAAATATTTTTCTGCCTGTGCAGCTGTAGATGAGTACATACATAGCAATACAGTTTCTATATTTAGGTAGCATTTTTTTATGCTGTGCTGACCGAATACTCTGTAAATATATATTTTTTAATCATGTTAATTTGAGTAAAAAGAGGTGAAAGTAGTGATGTTTCTCAGTAGCTATTTAATGTTGCTCTTTATTTTAATTTTTTTTTTAAGTTAACTACTCATTTTGACCACTGTAGTTATGTTTACACCTAGATTTGCCATGTTTCTGGGCAGTTCTTCAAAATGTATTAAAAACATGTATAATGGTCTGCCACTCTCATTTCCTGACCAGAGGGAGAAAAAAAATACTTCAGTTGCCACCATCCTGTTGAACCCAGGACTCATTATGGTGATGGGGATACTTTTAATATTATGGTGGTGACCTTCTCTCCGGGGGTTTGGCTGTGAGTCTGTGAGTGGAGAGCAATAATAAAAGTTGGATGTATTTTTGATATATGACAACAGTGAATGAGAAGTTTTAAGCTCCATCGGGTTCAGTGAAGATTAATCAAATCAGCAGCAGTGGCTGGAAAAAAAAAAGCTTATCTGTACAAATGTTGCAGCATAAAATAAAGATTTACAGTATTTCCTTCTTCTGCTTCCTGTGAACATTTATTGACATGTGGAGGAATTTATCATTAGAGACTGTGACTGTGTGTTTGGGCAAACTTTCCTTTTATACTTTTCCTGTTGTATGCTAAGTGGGATGTGTGGACTCTGCTTTGTGATTGGCTGCAGCTTTGCGAGACGCTCCCATTTCCTGCGGTCGCTTCGCCTCATTGGAGCGGCACCTGTTCCGGCCACCAACCAGCTGAGGACACTAGATGTACAAAGGCCAGACCGGGATGTCAGTCAGACCGGCGGACATAGATCCAGTCTCAACATTTAGGCCCTTTTTACAACCTTTTCTGCAGCTCAGCCATTCTGGTTCGGTTGCCGTGGTTACCAGGGGACGCCCGGAAGCGGCAGAAGAGCGGTTAACAAAAAAGCATGGAAGGCAACATAAACAAAAGCAGGACAAGAAGGTAAAGAGGGAAGACATACAAAATATTTCAATGTTAAAAAGGACAATTAGAGAGACTAGATGTTGTGTCAAAGCAATAAAAGCACACACATTAAAAGCAATAGAAGAACAACAAAGAACAGTAAACCTCTTGTGAGTTTTATTTTCAAAATCATTGTGTAAAAAAAAAAGAAGTAATGATGTCATGGGGGAAAAAAACTGTCTATCTGCACTTCTTCTATTAAACCAATAGAGGGCAGCAAAGGCTAAACCCTGATAAGACCGTGTAGTGGCGTCATGATACTGGTGGTGAAAATCTGCCATTTTAGGGGAAAAAAAACAAAACATGCATTTTAAATAATCAAATCATGAGAGCCACACAACGTGCCGTTTCTAATGTGATCAATATATGTTCTGTAATATTTTTTGTGACAGAAATGTGCTGTTTGTCATCTTAAAGTCAAGACCTCTGCACTGTAAATCGCACAGCACTAATAATTATCATAAACTGTCTGTCAGTTTCTCTTTGCAACTGACAGATTTACGCCTGTCACACACACACACACACACACACACACAAATACACACGTACATGCACATGCACATGCACAAACACACGCAGAGTTAATCTGGATTTGGTGGGTGGAAGATTGCTGCACTTGATGGCAAGCCAACCTCATGACATTACATAAAGCTTTTTATCCGTCTCTCTTCATTAGAGATTCGTCTATACACACACCAGCTGTCAGCCGATGGTCCAGATGTGTCAAAATCAAACACCATCGTTTAAAAAAAAAGAAAGAAACTGTTGCAAAAGTTTGAAGTCATTATCACAGACCATGAAAAGCAGTTTAAGTTGACGTCCATAATTTAAATCGTTTGACAGATAAAACATTTTTTTGGCAGAGCAACGGAGAGGAAAGTCTCCACTGTGAACGTGATGCACGAAACTGAAGAATAAGCCGATAAAAAAAAAAGTCAGATTAACTGTAACATTTAAAAGTGTTTAGTTTTTCTCCCTTTTACTTAGACAAAAAGCTTTGTATGTAACGCAAATGTCTTTTATTACATGGGGCTGTGACCAATATGGATTTTGTAAGACTTATATCTATATCAATAAATATAAATATAATAATTTTCATACCAGAAAACACAAGTGTTCAGTATTTGAACTATAATTCTGTTCTTGGCAGAATGGAAAAGCCTCTGAAACAGTTTTTGGACCATCATGATACACCAACATTCTCCATTAATCCCAGATTAAAACCTAAAGAAATTTGAGTTAATAGTAAAATATTTTGGGAAATATTAAATATATTCTCTTTCTTTATAAGCGTGATATAAGTAGACTAATATCGATGTCATGTCTGTGTCTTGTTTATTCTTTATTCACACAGAAATGTAAAATCTACAATTATAATCTTGTGACGCAGATGGATTTCTCACACGTGATTGGCTATTGGCTTGTTCTGACCAATCAGTGTCCTGAGAGGGAGGAGCTACTGGCAGCTATGCCTTAGGTGTGCCTACAGCGACAGTTCGTCAACAACAATGGCAGCTTCTAAAGAGGGTTAGCGTTAGAGCTGCTGCTAAAGAGTCAGTTCTATCAGAGCTGGAGAATTTTTCTTCATCGAAAGAAGAGCAAAGACCAAGAAAGAGAAAGAGTTTGCTTTACCAGTTATAGAAAGTGATAGAAAAATGCTTCATCCAATCACCTGCCAAGTATTTTTTTCCAGCTCCCTTCAGCCCTTTTCCAAACAGTTTTCAACAAAGCCTTCGCAGATGGTTCTGTTAAACCAACCATCTGGTGCATCAGGTTAGGAGAATTGGTGCTTTTGTGCAGCACCTCTGACAACAGTGCGGTTCGCCAAATACAGTTGGGGAGCATATCCTTTGGTGTTGACCTCTCTACCGACGATTAGAAAAGCTACGTCACTGGGGGCTAGAGTGGAGATGTGGAGTCTGCACCGCTGTTGAGGTTAGGTGCACATTCCAGGTGCACAAAGCCAACGCTAAGATTCCTTCTGTGGCAACCCGAGGCACTTCACCAATTGAGCCGTCGACATTGTCACAGAGGTATAGCCATCTCTACCGTGACCTCAGCGGCTCCTCATTCGCCGCCATGCATTCATGTGATAAACATGTACATTGTGCATGAATCCAGGCAGAGAATGAGACTGAACTCACGGAAACTGACTGGAAAGCACTTTCAGTGTTATGACGTGATGTAGATTCACTAGAGACATTTGGGTTTGGTTCAGTTAAGTGTTGGGGCAAGTGTCAGTAATCATCTATAGAGGGTAGAAGTCTCTGAGATGATTAGCCACAGTTTCCACACACTTGGAAAACATATGCATGAGAATTGCCAAAAAAGGAGGCGGTGGTGCTGAAAACACTTCCTGGAGGCAAACATACATTCATACATGAACCAGAAAATTAGAGGAATTGCGCATCCATATGAGAAAAATAGTGTCGTGATGGCTCCTTTCCTCATCTCTTCTTCCAGTGGCACCGTCGCAGTGTAGCTGGAGAGGGGGGTAAGATGCCCTCCTCAGAAGCCCTGCCCGGCCAGGAAGAGGATGAACCATTGATTCATATCCACAATGAACAGTGATGCGCATTTGTGATGCACAAGGAAGAGTGGGACCACCCCTCGTTACCCCCACCTGTGGGCCCCGCTGCAGAATGCAGGTAATGAGTAACGGGGGGCTGCATGACAGCATAGCATGGCAGATTGGCATAATGGAAGATAGGAATAGCTCAATTCTCGTAATTGGCAGCAATCCATCTTATGAAATATATAAAACACCAATAGTATGCAAAGGGTAAGTTTCACCAGGAAATGGATGACTAAAAATGGCCCAGATCATCATCATAGATGAGGAAAAACAGTGACGTGTGTGGCAGATATCCCCTGAGGGGACTGAGTGCACAACGTTGTCATATTTGATGTCAACACAACTGTATGTTAGTGGTAGTAAATATGGCCAGAGGGCCAGAAAGTGGAAAGGGAATAAAAATAGCTCATTTATAAGCCACTGGCCTCCAGTGCTTCTTGGGAGTAGACCACGCCTCAGTGATGAAACCGTCTGTGAATCCATGGATATGGGCGGAATCATCAGTGATTTAGCTTGCAGGAGTCTAGCTGTTTTCTCCTTGCGTCTGGCACAATACCGCACATGAAAGGGGGCTGGTAAGTACAGGGGAGAAAATAAGGGAAATGAGAAACAAGTAGGAGAGGAAGTTCCAGTGATTGGGAATGGGAAACAGGTGAGCAGGTGGATCTGGAAACAGGGAAGTAAGTCCAAAGACATCTGGTGGGCCAGAATAAACAGGGCTGAGACAGCAATCCAAGCGGCAACCTCCGAGGCAGAAAAATGAAGCCAACATGGAAGTGCCAAGAACTGCAGTTCCTCTAATGACCACTGGAGTCTGCCTCCAAAAGTGACTCATCCCCATAGACTCCCATGTTATAATGTGCAAATTTATAGCAGAAATAAAAGTGTTTACAGCCTGGTACAAAAAAAAGTTTTGGTCCTTATAGCTAATTAACCCCTTAATGACAACTGTATGGGGGGGTGAATTTTTATATAAATCACCTGTTTTAAAGCTATGCATAATTGCTTTGAGGGACAGGTGGGTGATTCTTGACACAAACCATCAGGTACTGCCAAGATGGCGACAGTGGAGCTGCCCACTCTGAGCTTCAAACCAGCTCTTCAAAAACCTATGTGTGAGGTCACGGAGGCTACGTCCATCTTTATTTATGGTCTATGCAGCAATCATCAGGAGACACACAGGCATCTGACTCTGCCTCCTCCATATTCACCCCACCTGAGTTAAGGAGAGAAGAAGAAGTCCACGAGCATCTGACAGTCTCTCTTTGATTCTAGCTTCTTTTAGCTTCTTTTGGTTCATTGTTTTGCTTTTACAGCACATTCACTGTGTTGGTTCAGTCTTGTTTCCGGCAGCAGGAGGCAGCTGTTTTTCGGTGAATAAGCTCAGATAAACCCGGTGTACACTATCTGCTCAGCGCCAAACAAAAGACACGCACAGTTGGAGACTGGCTTGTGATTATGATGAAGCTGTCAGCTAGAGCCAAATATTTTTCTCAGGAGTTCTCGAATACTCCTAAAAATGCAAATATGACAGACACAGCGATCATACCAATGTTGTAAACACGGTAACCTTCTTTATCACTATCTCACATGACATAAACATAACATGTGGGGTGGATTTTCTGCCTGATTTTTAGTTATTTCAGTGGACTGAACTGTTTGCAGCTCATTGTGTTCGCTCTCCCTTATTTTGAAATCCAAACAGACTGTTACCAGCTGTTGAAACATCCCCAGCAAGCTACATCATTTCAGATCAATTTCCCTTCTCTCCTCTGCCACCACATCTATTTTGCTCAAAACAGTGGTGAGATGTGTTACGTCCTTTGGGTTATGTGTATATATGAGAGGGTGTGTGTGTTTGTGTGTTTGTGAAAATACATGCTTGTCTGCACATGTCACAGATTAAAAGAAACAGAACCGGCAGATTAACATGTGGCCCTGCATGCTAATGTGCAGGTGATTTAGAGGGTTTATTGTTCTCATTCTCATTTTGCAACTATAATTCATGTCATTCCTCACTGTCTAGAAAAGCAGACATAATAAAGAACTAAAGGAAGCTGTTGATGGTGAGTTGTGATTCTCTCAGGATTTGGCAGTTTGCTTGTTTATATTGTAAATCTGTCAGCAATGTGACATTAAGGAAACTGCAGAGATGATGCACAGGTAAGAAGTTGCTGTGACACACTGGATCAAAAAGAGATAAGTTGAGCTCTGAGCTCAGGGCATTTCTTGGGAACGTGTCACTCAAATGAGGAGCATGAGATGGATTCAGAGTGAGTGAGCACTTTAATAATCAGCCTGCTGTTTGTTTGTGACATTGAGATGACTCATATTCCTCTGGTACTGCACTCCTCTGCAGAAGAGAAGGTCAACGCAAATTTGAGGTTAGTAATCCTCTGCTCTGATCAAGTGTTCTTGGACAAGCCCAGCAGACATCGGACATAGAAATAACGTCAGAAAGACCAACGTTGGCCATCTTGATATTTAAAATACAGGTGATACATAGTCGTGAGCAAAATCCAACGTCTGCTAAACGTCAGTTAGCGCTGGCATGAGACATTTGGAGGGCATTGGATTTTGGTGACTTAACAACACAACTAAACCAAACGAAAAATAATCAACGTCAGCTGCCTGTTCAGTATTCTCCGACAAACTGATGTTGGCATTCGATGTCCGTCAAATTATGAGCTTTTTTGAAGTAACTCATCTCTTTAGTAAAAAGGCAAAAGTGTCCAACATATGGATTTCAGCCACATGATAACAGGTGGTATGTTGGAGGAGATGGTAACCCCTGTCTTCAAAGATGGTCTCCGGTGTCATGTGACAATATCATATTGCCCTGTGCCCTTGCTGTTGCTGTCACTGATGTGATGTCATGTCATGTCATGATGATGTCATACACCACTCCGTCCTGTCTTTAGGATGTACCAAAACAAAGGTCAAGGTGTTGAACGCTTTGTGGTAACTTCTGAAGACTGTTGATGCAGCAGCCTCCATTGTGGCCTTAAGTTGAACAGGACTGTCATCATCCACTCCTGCTACCTGCTGGCCCTGAATGCCCCCCCACCCCCACCCCCTCCCCGAGAACTGCAGCATCTCCTTCTCTTTGCAACTCTTCATTGATAAGATGTTGTGCTGTGTGTGTAGGATTAGGGTAAGGATTAGGGGGTGAGGGCCCTCACCACTCATCGGTGGTTAGAGTTCAGATTAAGTTAAGTCTGTTTGAGAGGGTTAAGCTTCTGTGAGCCTTTACTTGAGCACAGGTGTTTACCGATAGCACCTTACCATCTTTATCCTGTTTACTACTTCCTCTTTGTGTTAAGGTTGTCGCTGGGTTGTTGCCCCCCTTTATATGATTACTCATTTTGCACCTGAGTTACATGATGACACTTGAGCCAGTTCCATTTGCTAATGAAAATCATTACATGCAAAATGCATAAGACAGCAACAAGTTTTTTCTAGAGCTTTAATACTTCCAAGGTCCTCCTGAAGCCGTCTTGCTGCCATCTGCAATAATTGAAATGTTCGTATCTTTGGCTCCTTTATTCCTTTTGAGCGGTGCTGAGTATTGCACCTTGCACCAAAGGTTACTGGTCCATATGACATGCTCGTGACTCCAGTGAGTTATGCCATTGCAGTAGTGTGTTTTGAATGCCCTTGGCATCAGTATATGACCAGAGCAATCAACTGCGATGGTTGAAGTGCGTGGGCACACATGCAGAATAACTTGACTTGATGTGTTGCCACATGAGTCAGTGGTCAAGCATCCCTTTGTTGTTTTTGCGATGTGATCTGGAGAGCTGACGTTCATTTTGCCCTGTGGTTGGCTTCAAATGATGATGTAAAGAGTTTTAAGATTAAAGACTCGTCTATAGTTAATGTTGCATAACACTGATATGTTCCTCTGCTGTTGAATACACCACATTGCAACCACAGATAAAAGGCATAGGAGTCACTGTCTGTGCCAAAGGAATATTTTTCTTCTCCATGTCATTCTTATACACAAGTAGAATATCTTTGCCTTTTAATATACAAAATAGAAGCAATGACTGTTTGAAGCATTATAGGTTGCAGATGTCTACATTTTGTAACGGTTTTATTGATATTTTATCTATCTATCTATCTATCTATCTATCTGTATGTCTGTATTCCGACGTGTGGAGCAGTACCGCCATGGACTGCAAACACTGCTGAGAAGATCGTCAGGGTGCCTCTACCGTCTCTGCGGGACATCTACCGCCGGTGAGTCCATAGAAGAGCCTGCAGCATCATCAAAGACACCACCCACCCCCAACACAGGCTTTTCACTCTTATGCCTTCTGGCAAAAGGTACAGAAGTGAGAAATGTGGGACTGCTTGGCTGTGGGATAGTTTTTGTCCTCAGGCTATCAGACTGATCAACAGATCTACTGCCCCTGGCCCAACCTTAACCCGCCTCACCATACAGGAAGCCTCATTCCTATTTTCTTTTATCTCTCCTGCTATTTTATTTCTTTTATTTTATTTTTATGCATTTCATCTCTCATACCTAATGTTTCTTTGATAAACAGCATTCAGAGTGGAAGGCAAAGGAAGAATTTCATTATACAGAGAAACATGTTTTGACTGTGACAATAAACATTTCATATAGTATTTCATTATTATTAAACATATAGTTTTGGAATATTGGTGACTTGAATTTTCTGTATGTATCTGTGAATCCTAAAAGGTTATTGTACTGAAACTGACCACTGGGAAAAGAGGGGAATTCAGACCACAAATCCATTTTCAAAGTAAAATATTTGTGTTATACATTCAGCTGTATTTCAATTTCAACATTAAGTATTCAGCTGTGATTAAATGTCAAAATGATTTAAGATTCGAGTCCTTGTGGTCACTTTTGCTTCTACAGATAAATTGTCCATCATCTCTACTAGTGTATAAAATGTACAAAAAAGATCAATATTTTTTATGTAATTGTTATTCTGATGACTTGACTTTCTCTACTTGTATTTTACTTTCATATTATTATATTATTTAAACATTTCAATCATGTTTGTTTTGTTTTTGTTTTTATTATGAACAATATCTATGTTGCTGTTGCCTCCTTTGAGAAATTGATGTGTACCCTTTGGATTAACTGAAAACATCCTTTCCCGGGAAGTGTGATTCTGTTTCAGACAGGAAACTTTACCCTGTTTGAATTATAGACCTACAGCACTGAGTTTTTCACTGTACCTGTCTTCCATGTGTTGTAAATAAAGTTGCTTTAAAAAAAACAAAAAACAAACCCTAGTGTAAGTGTAGTCTGATTCTCTCGTCACCGTCTTCTCCTAAGTCTCCTAAGTGAAATCTCCTTCACATCTCTCCTTGACTTCGTGACGTTTTCCATCGACGTAAAAGAAAAGTGGTTAGGAAAGGATTTTTTTTGTTTACTACTCTAACGCAGCCTACACATTCACTTCCTGTTTACGTTCCCACAAATGACGTCACGCAGATAACGTTTAACAAATAGTTTCAAAACCGAAACAACGGATAACTTGAGAAACAACCCTTCTCTGCTCTTGTATCGGCTGGGTTCAGACTGTCTCTATCTTAGCTACGTACCGGAGCACCGGAGAGAGAGGACCACCTCCGGTTTCAGCCGTACTGCTCTTGTTTGAGGATCGAAGAAAGCTAGCCGAGGCTGCTAAGTAAAGCTAACGTAAAGTAGGTAGCTGGTAGCTAGCTAACGAGTTAGCGACTGAAACTCATCAGCACTTCATCGTTTTAACTGAGGGCTCCACGTCTGTCAGTATGGAGAATAAATATAACCTAAAGAGTCCAGGTAAGCTCGTTTTCAAGGGTTGTTTTTCTGCCGGGTTGCAGCTGTCAGCGAGCTTTGCTAACACGATTAACACATCGAAAACCTACTAGTTTACTGTTTACATTTCTTAATTAACATACAACAATTTGTTACGAAAGGTCCGTCAAAACTAAATTACTACACTGACACGACCTGTATGCTAAGTATATTGACTCTGTTTCTCAGTGTTTATGTTTGCTAGCTTCCTCCACTTGTTAACTCTACATGGAGATACTTTTTTGCATCATGCTGTATTCAGAACAAAAACCATCTTAATATATACATTTAGCTTCCATGTGAACTGCGCTGGCATAGCTCACTTCCTGGGCTTAAAGAGTGCCCTGGTGTTATTGAGCCGTGTCATGCTACACTTTGTTTGCCTGTGTAGCCTCAGTCATGGTCATTTGGGAACAATGTTTTCCTGGTTTTTAGATGGAACAGCTGACAGAAGTGAGGGCATTGAACACAGAAGATGACCTAGGTGGGGTCAGGCTGGTAGTTCGGGCTTGTAATGATATGCACAGGCAGTGGTCGTTGTACACTAGATGTGTTATTTACCTAGCTAGTGAATCACAGCTAGTATCAAAACTCCATATGTGATTCTTGCAGATCTGGCCTATAGATGAGGCTGTATAAGACTAAAAACACATAGCAATACTGGTATGTGTGCAGGACTGCTTTGTAAAATAAGGCAAATATTCAAATCATTTAAAAGTAAACTCAGACTTTATGTGGCTGGGAAATGGATAGACAAGTTAAAGCAATCTAACTTTTCATGCCCAAGATGCATGACATTTATACAAGTGCTGCATTAGTAATGATTATTTAATTACTGATTTATCTGCTGATTATTTTTTCAATTAATTTATTATTTTTTGGTCTACAAACACAAACAAACCAATCAATTAATTGAATAATTGTTGCATGGAAGTCAGTTAAGTGTCCTAAATGACAAGCAATATGTAAACTGTACAGAAAGCTACATAGAACTTTCTCTATTATTATGTGCAGGTGCATGTTACGATGTTATAAGTGTTACACATTACAAGCACATGAACATGCAGTATTAACTAAAAAAAATAATAATAATAAATCACTGATTGAACTGCATAAAGTACAATAAATACTACCAGTAGAAAGAAGGGAATAGAATAGACACAGTGGATTGATTTTGAGGTATATGATAATAGTGCATGATAATAAACCTTGTGATTGACAATATTAAAATGGACATTTGTATCTAAGTAATGATCAGATTTTATACCAGTTATGTATATGTTATTAGCATGTGCACATGCTAACATCATAACGTTTTTTAAAAAATCTAGATGATCCCGGTTTTGAGAAACCAAATATACTACCAGGGGTACTGCAGTAGAAACGGGGACACTTGCTAAGAAATCAAAGAGACACCTGGACCTAGACAAGAAACTACAACTGTAAAAACACAGTTAGACTCATGTATATATGTGTGTCCTAAATCTGATCAAAACCAGGAAAGTAATGTGCATGTAAACAAACATAGTGTTCACCAGGAAGAGACGAGTTACTGTTAAACCAGCTGTATAATCAGTGTGACAAAATGACACAGCAACGTTATCATCAAGTCATTTGCTGGTTATTTACCACACTGGTTGTTAGGCTTGTGAAAGTGAATAAATGTGCTTGTGATTGTGTGTTTGTTGGCATTTGGACATGTGCTTAGTCTCCTTTGTTTTGTTTTTTTTTATTTCAGGCTTTTATTGTGTAACAGGCAATCTGTATACATCTTTGCACCTAGCCTAGAACTTGAAGACAAACATGACGTGCCATTCAAGTTATTATCCAGTTAATGTCCAGCTGTTTAGATCAGTATAAGATCTAGCTGACTATTACACACTTACAAGTGAAACTCAGAGTTTAGACATGTAACATCGAGGAAGCACTGAGCTCATGCCACGTATCACTAAGTACTAACTAGTGTATCGTGTCAAATGTTTGCTCTGCTGGTGTACAACTTTGACTCCAAGGACAGACACACACATACAAGTACGCACACAGACATGCAGGTACATTATTTGGTTAGAGCCATCTGGCTGGAACTGGTGTTTCCAGCTTTCAGTTTCATATTCAGAGTTTCAGAATGACTGTACTCTTGATCTAACTTTACTGGAAGTTTTGTCTCACAGAGATCAAAATAAGACCAGAGGACAATTAACATATATACAAGCTCACAACAGAACAATGTTATTGTTAACTTCACTCTGTTGAATATAAGGGCTGCAAGTAATGATTATGGGTCCAAGTGGTGAAGCTGCTGGAACCTGATTGTTCTCATTATTCTTTCCTTCGTCTTATTTTTCTCTAATAAAAGTGTTTGTGCAGTAAAAACCAGCAAAATTCACTTAAATTGGCAGGTGCATCACTGCAACTCCATAAATATATTTTTCAAAATATGCAAATTAACATTGATAGCTCCACAAGTCTTCATTCAGTTGCTACCAAATTGTGCACATTCTTTGGATACTACATGTTTCACAGGATGAGTGTGACATATGTCAGTGTGTGACTGTAATCTGTGGACCCCAATCATTGCTGCTTGTGCCTATATTTATTCTTTATGCTGATTATTTTACCAGTTATTTTCTCTTAAACATTCTGTTCATGAAATGTCAAAAAAGTGAAAAATAAATTTGTGAAAATTTGCCATCGCAATAACCCGTAAAGTGACATCTTCAAATGGGCTTTTTTTTTGTCAAAACCTAAAGAAATTCAGTTTAGTTTCACACAAGACGAAGAGAAGTGGTGAATGCAAATGCGTCAACACGTTGAACATAGAATTGAATAATTATTTGCTAATTGATTATTTGACAATTATTTAATTTTCTATTGACGGACCAGTTGATTATTTGACTCATCATTTCAGGTCCATTGAATATCAGCAGCTTGCATTGTAAAGCCCAATGAATGAAAACACTGGTCTGCTGATGCCTCAGTGATGACCTCTGACCTTCTTGTATAACGATGATGAGGATGATATTAATAACAGTGATGAGCGCGATAGCTGGAACAGTAGGAAATCGTATCCAGTGCTTCATGATAGTGGCATGAATGCTGCTCTCCCTTTTTTACTAGGCCCCAGTTTCCCAGCAGGGTTTTTGTGTTAAATCATTAATTTTATTCCAGCGTTTCAGTTAATCTATTAATTTTTCTGTGCTCGCAAAGTGTGCCCTGCCTGAAGGTTTCTATGTATCTGCCGGCACCAGACGGGCTCTTGAGGCCTAAGTATCTACAGTGCAATTGTGCACCGTAATGAGCAGGGGAAATGTCTGTCTAGCTTACATATGAGATGCTTCAAGGTTTAAGAAAATACTTTTTTATTGCCCTTATTGGCCCTGCTCTATCTAGCCCTCCTGCCTCTGCTTCTCCTGGAAGAGCAGCAGCTGCACTTTGCTCCCCTCCTTCCTGCTCCTGTCCTGCTTCTCGTTCAGCTCCTCTGCTCTGGCCTCCACTCACATCTGAGCTTCCCTGCCTCACCACCTGTTCCGTCTAGTAGGAGACCCATCCAATGAAATTGTGTTTGGAAACATGTAAAACCTAAAAAACCTATTATCTCCAAAAAATTGTGTATCCATTTGCTCCCATTTCAAAGTATTGCTGCCAGACAGCAGAGACAGAAATCCCCTCCCCCCCTTACTTTACCAGTAACCTCCTCCGCGTCACCACTGGCATCACTTCTCCTTCTGCTTTTGATCAACCAGTCATTTAAACTGAAATATGTGATTTGATATACAAGGTATTACTTTATGTGTGACCCATATCACCCACTGGATGTTAGCTAGCCGCTAGCTAGACGGGTCAGATGTTTATAGATATGTGCTTTGTTGCATATTCATATCAAATGAGTGCGTTTGTTGTAATGTACAGGACTGCTTTCCTTTCGTGATTGATAATCCTGAATGCGTGATCAACATTGTTTGCTTCATTGTTGACATGCTGGTTGTTATAGTGATTGTGCTGTCACTTTCAAGGTAAGCGCAAAGTTTCTCCTCTTCTCTGCAAAATTTCTGTGAGAAGTGATAAGAAAAGGTTTTCTTCTCTCCTCTTGAAAAAAAAATAATCAGCAGTGGCATTCATATTTCAGAAGCGGCATAACAGAAACACTGTCTTTAGTTTCTGGTTAATTCTAGTAAGGCTGTGCAGAAGAAGCTGGTTGTAGCTCAAAGCTAGTAGCACGTATGAGGTTCATTGAGAAATGCTGGGAGTGTAAACAGGCTGGAGTAGGAAAATGAATATTTCCTAAATAAATGTACTCCGGTGCTGCACCCTTGACAGACAACTCCTGAGTTAGCCAGCTGTTTCCTTTTTGACTCCTGGCTGGCCTTTTGTTCCCAATGATCACATTCACAGTGCTGTACGGTGTGTTTTCTCATTTCAGTGTCTGCAGTCAGTGCACTGTGTGGTGTGTAAAATTTATGTCATACCACCCTTCCTTACTGTACCTTATCATACTCCTCCGTTTTCACAAAATTCAGTCACTGACTCAAAGAGTGGGATTAATTCTTTTTTGTACTGCTGGCTTTACCTTTTAGCTGAATGTGCTGGAGGCAGCAGCAGCTGAAGAGCAATAAAAAAAAATATTCTCAGACTTCTGAAGAGTCTCTTCCCTCCCTCCCCTGTGCGCAGAGCTTTTCACATCTTTGGAGTTGGCTTGTTATTACGCAATAGTATCTCCTCTCTCCCCTCTGGACCAACTATGAATCATTCCCGGTGGCAAACACTCAAAATGTGTGTTATATAAGATGATGTGGCATACAGGGATTATCACCCTACTGCCTTGAGCTAGTGACTGGACCTCTGCAAACCAAACAGAGGCCAGAGACACTTGTGTGGGAAAGGGCTTTTCCTTGTCATCTCTGCTCACTGTTACCGAAAGGAAGAACCAAAAATGGGCATGGAAATGAAACTCAGCAGGGGATATGGAGCAGTGAAGCGTCTGTCAC